TAAGAATCTTAAGAGGAACAGGAAATCACTGGAATAGCCTCCAAGGTCAACAGATTTAAATACTTTTTTTTTTAAATTATATTTTCTGACAATTAATGTTACAAGTAATGTTACGACAATATTAGAGTCGATTTGTTTTAATTAATTAAAATAAAATTTCAAGTGTGAATAACTAGGCCAGTGTCAATAACTGGGTCTTTTACCTTATATACACTGATAGAAGGATTTATTAACTATTAATAATTTAATTTATTTAAAGACAATTTTTTAACATTTAATAAATATTTATTTGGGAGGAAAGTACATTGATGAATAGTTAATTATTTATTTATTAGTTAACAAATATTTATTAACAGTTGATAAATATTTTTTTGAGTAAATTTGTTTCCCTTGTAATGTCATATGATATGAAGATTGTTTATAAACAAAAATCATCTTTATAAATTATTTGCATTAATTATATTACATTATAATAACGTTTATTGTAAAATATCAAATTCTATCACAGCTCATAATTATCTTTTATATTTTTAAATATTGAAATCGTTAATTTATTTAGTGAATTGAATTATTATCATGTATTTCAGCTATAGAATCATAAGAAGTGTCAAAAGAAAATTACTATTTTTGTTTTTTATTTTAAATAAATATTTGTTAACAGTTAACAAATATTCATTAACCATTAATAAATATTTATTTACTGTTAATAAATATTCGTTAACTCTTAACAAATATTTATTAACATTTAATAAATCGTATTTAATAAATAATTTTTTAACTTTTAATAAATATTTATTAAATCCTATGATGTTACAAAATCATTTATTAACAGTTAATAAAGCTTATTAAATAAAAACAAATCTTTCCGTCAGTGTTGTTTTGGTGGTAACACAAGAGTTTAATTGCTTAACACGCCAAAAATTATAGCGGGAACCGCTAGTACCCTTGCGTCATCAGCAATGTAGTATGGGTCTCAGGACCATACTGTCTTGCCAAGCCTGCTATGCATACGTGTAAAAAATACAATAGCATCATTACTATACTACATAGTAAATAACGCCATACTTATGGGACTCGTTACAATACTGAATTGCAATATTACACATACTATTTTAGTATCGGTCTGGAGACCATACTGACATAGTGTTAAACGCCATCCATTTCTCTCCGTGTGAGAACATCCAACCTCTTATGGGACGAGACAAATAATAAATTATAATCGTCACGATTATCACCCGTAAGCGTCAACTCCCACCCTCTTAATCCTTAATTCGTTATTTTACTTTTTTATCTCACTTCTTAATATTATCTTTATTTTAATATCCTCATAAATACTCATAAACTTTTCTTTATTATTTACGAAATAATTTTTATGCACACCTTTGGTATTATGTATTAAGTATCGAGTATTAAGTCGTTATTTATGCTCAGGCACAATAGATTGATTAACAGTTCACCTCCAAACACCTAATTCATTACTTTACCTGCAGAAAGAAAAATAAGATAATGCACACCTTAACCATTAACTATCAATACACACCTCATATATTCAATCTTGATGCTAATTTAGACTATTAAGTCTTGATAAATAGACAAAGTACTAAATTTTTAGCACACCTTAACTAAAAGTTTTTATTATCAGTATTATATCCTGAAAAAGAATTAAAAATGGTCAATTTTAATTAAAAACATGCAAATTTAGATTTCTAAATACGCGAAGGTGAAAGAAGATTGAATTCCTCATAAATTGGCCTGTAATAGAAGCACTTTCAAGCGATTAGATCCTAAAAAAGATGATTTGACGCAAATAACGGCAGTTGAATTATCCGGAACGATGCAGCCTGAACTTGATCTCGAGCTCGACTGGCCTTATTAAATCCCCCCACCATCGGTTGACAAAAAAAGAGAGGCGCGGTCGGGTTGCGCGTGAACAAACTAAACGAGTGGTGAGCGGTAGATGCGGTTTAAGAGGATCTCTTCTCATCATTATCATTACTGTTGTTATTATCCTCGGTTTTATTTTATTTACTCCTTATTCTCGGGCACATACACAACTAATAACACAAATAAAATAAAGCTTGGGTTAAAACTGCAGTAGGTGAATGCCGAGAGAAATCATAAGTCTGCCGAGCAAGGACGTGATACAACCACACCCTTCACGCCGATACGACTCATCTTAACTTTCTATAAACCACGCCAAAAACTGGATCATCTTATTCAACAAGTCTTATTATATTATCCTCGCGTTAAATTCAATTACTTCCTCGTCTTACTATTATATCTCGAGCGTATCAATTACGCCTAATTCTTCTTTTAAACTCCGTATACTTATTGAGAATTCTTACATTGAAGTTTTTATGTAAAAAATTGCACAACGCTGCACGATTCGCGGAACGTATTTATCCTCACACGAAGTTTAAATTTCTACATTTTCTGGATTGTGAAGTTTCAAGTAAAACTTGACTACTGAAGAAAAGAATTTGAAGTCGCGGATAAAATCTTTGATTCCCGTTTTATTTTCTCAGTGACGACATAGTTAAACAGCTCAAGATTGCTTGAGATTTTTCTTATAACTTTTTCAGCAACTCCGATTTAAAGATGCTCGCACTCTCACTTGTCCAATTATCCGGGAATTTTTATAAATATTCAGCCCAAGATGAAAAAGGAGACGGAGAATAAATACAGGCAATAAGTGTTATATTATAGAAGTACAAGTGAGACCTGATTTACTTTCTTGTTTAATTGTCACCGTAATTATAAAGAAGAAAGATAAGAGATGAAAATAAAAATAATGGCTATACGGGTTTTGCGAGGACTGTTTGTTTTGTAGAGTTAAATCTAGCTGCCGAGTGGCGAGTGTACTTGTTTCTTTGTTCTGGTAGTTGCTGGTGCAGAATAAGAAGGTGTTTTATTTATTTTTTACCACGTGCTGACGTCGGGCAAGTTTCTCTTTCATCCGTTAATCGAGTACGAGGTGGAGTCGGTCGATCGGTCTCGCCTATAACTGGAGTAACTAGAGTAACACGAGAGCAATGCAACGGTACATTTTCAGTTCTCGAGGGATACGTCTAGAGTTGCTTCCCTCATTTTTTATATTGTGTTAAAACTTGTTTATAACTTTACAACTTTTTTTTATTGTTAAACTCGATTCTGTGTAGAGGAAAAAATTATATTGGATTTATTACTTGCATTTTTAAACAATTCATTTCTTTTATTACAAAAAATTTTATTTATACCTCTTATAATTAAATTAAAATTATTGATATTATTTTTTTAATTTTGTTAACTAAAAAAATATTTCAATTTATAATTTTGCAATAAATATTTAACAATGAAAAAAAAAATTTTTTTTAATTAAAAAATTTGCAGTTTTGTATTAAAAAAAAAAAAATAAAATAATTTAAATAATTGAGTAGTTACAATTAAATGTTATTAAAGAGAAATTCTATGTAAATTATAATTAACCGCAAAAAACAAAGCTAATAAATGTCTCAATAATGTAAAGTACATATTTACTTTAATTTATATACCTAAAAACAAAACAAAAAAAATATATACCACACTCGGGGTAAAATTTTTGTGAAATGAAATAATTAAACTAATAGTCTGTTAGTATTAAGTTAAGTAAATAGTATAAAAGGTTTATATAGACTATAGATACCCGGAAAGATAATTAACTCCGGATTTTACTGCGAATCTAATTGGAATATTATACTGCCAGTAAAGAATTAATGTGATTGCCGCTAAATATATTCATATGAAGATTTTATTTAATGTCTAATCGTATCGCATAGTATGACCATAATAATAATAATAACTATATATTATATAGTTTGCCGGTGAACTCTCTCGAGCCAAGTGATGATAAAGACATCAACGCTTGGGTATACAGTAAGCTCTACGTGACTCTTAGATATTATTTCTGTAGTTATAAATATATAATCTTTGGTCTATTCAGAGACATCGATGCCTCTTTATAATAACTTTAATACTATCTTTCAACTAATAATAATATTTTATTTAATAACTATTATTATTCAAGTAAAAGTACGGAAAAACATCATTTTTTTATTCTATATAAATAGCTCACAATTTCTCATGAAATATTTTTAAAATTTCAAACAATTATCCAATTAAAATTAAAAATTGAGTTTCATTAAATTTTTACTAAAAAAATTGAATATTAAAAATAAAATAAATAAAAAATATTCGTATCATAAACATACGAATGAATTTAAATAAGCTCGTTGTAATAAAAATATTGATCGACGTCGGATTTAGATTAATGTCTTTTGGAGATGGTCGGTTTAATTAATTCTCCGAAATATTTAAATTAAAAATTATAATAAACTTATTAATAAAATTATCATCGAGAGGCAATAATTATATTAATACAATAGTAAATAAAATAAAATAAATAAAATAGAGAATAAGTTGCCAATCAGTCTCATCACCGATTCCGACATCTGTTTAAAAGTTTTAACTCTAAATCAACGACTCACGTGTAGACATGATTTATTACAATAGCTCCGGATAATTTACAATTGATCTAACGGAAACTTTCACAAGCCAGAAACCAGGATCAACCCTATATACTCTATACTAAATACTAGTCTTAATAGAATATTTTTTTCTTCCTCTTTCTGATATGAGTATCCTTTACTTATCCTCACCCGACATTTCTTCGGGTAATTTATCATCCTCCACTAGACATTCCTCTTGTAAAAAACTCCACGGGTTTTGTTTCTACTTCACACTTGGTAATTTATAAACAATTTACTTTTTCGAATCAATTAATTACAATTCTTTTAAATGCAAATACTTGCCAGATCATAAATCACAAGCTAGTTATTTATTTTCAATAAAGTGTTAGTTTTGCAATAAGAAAAATTGAATTTTCACTGAAAATTTCGCTTTAAATTTTTTATAAAAATAAATTAATCAATTAAAAAAAACTAATCTCCACAAAAATTAAACAAATCAATTGAATATTTTTCCAGAGCCAAAAAGAGGGATTCAAAAAGGCGTGAGATTCAAACGGGTGTAATGAGCGAATATCTCAGGAGCAGCCTGTCCCCGTTAGCTTGCCCGAAGTACCTACCAGCTGCCATGCGGGAGAAAGACTCCAGTCCTCGAAAAATGCCCGGACACATCAGCCCCAAGCAAGCGAGCATCTACCCCCTGAGCGTGCGCGTCTCAGACATGGAGGAGCTGCCGTACGACCTGAGCCACGGCAACAGCAGAACAAGCCCTGGCTCCCACCAGCACCAGCACCAGCACCAGCACCAGCCACACATGAGTCCGGCAGCCCGACCTCACAACCACCCCGAGGACATGGACTGCGAGCCCCTGGACCTGCGCGTCGACCACAAGAAGGAGCACCTCAGGGACGAGAACCAGAACGACATCGAGGTCTTGAACCAGAACGGCCTGGGACTTCCCTACCACACGGTTCTGTTCCCCCAGCACCACGCAGTGCATCCTCTGGTGCTGGAGGCGATGTACAGATCTCACCCTCCCATCCCTGAGCTGCCCAAGATCCAGGTCCGCGCTCTCCCGACGATGGTTCCGCTGCCCTCGAACCGGTTCTCGGCGCCCTCCACTCCGTCATCGTCAACCCGAGCCTCCAGTCCGCCGAGCCAGCCGACGTCGACGCCGACTCCAGTGAGCAATCCTTACTCCGTTGGAGTAGGAAACTCCGGACTGAAGCCCAAAGATCGGTACTCTTGCAAATTCTGCGGGAAAGTTTTCCCCAGAAGCGCGAACCTGACCAGGCACCTGAGAACCCACACCGGGGAGCAGCCCTACAAGTGCAAGTACTGCGAGAGGTCCTTCAGCATCTCCAGCAACCTCCAGAGACACGTCAGGAACATCCACAACAAGGAGAAGCCTTTCAAGTGTCCTCTTTGCGAGAGATGCTTCGGCCAGCAGACGAACCTGGACAGACATCTCAAGAAGCACGACGCCGATGGACCTACGATACTTGACGAGGTTCGCTCGCGGTACCACGGGCAGCTTCCTCGAGCAGATGAGTCGTATTTTGAAGAAATCAGGAGCTTCATGGGGAAGATAACCTCCCAGAGGCAAGGAATGCCTTACTTTTCGGGACTCCTGGCGCCGACTGCGGAGGAACTGAGAACTGAAAAGCAGCAAGCGCTGGAAGACAAACGCGGTGACTCCTCGTACTTCAGCGATAGGGATAACCTTAGCTCCAGGTCGAGCAGCAGCGCTTCCAGGGCTGAAAGCGTTCATGAAGACCAACGTGATACCACGCCGCCGTTGTCGCCTGGAAATACTTGATTTTTGTTTTGTTAAGTTTAATTAATTTAAGGAAAATTATTTCATGGTATTTAAGTGTAAATGAGCTTACGATGCTTGATAGGTTTAAGGAGCTACTGCGCATCGGTCTGCGTTTAGAGACAGCGCTTGGTTCTCGCCTGATAGTTACAATTTATCGAATTTTATTGTTGGTAATGTTTTGTTTGTTTGTTGGACAAGAGAAAATTTTTATTTAATTAGATGATTTTGAAGTAGACAAATTTTTTTGAGATTTAAAAATAATTTTTTTTTTTATATTTAATAAATTCTTCAATAAGCGATAATTGATCAAGGATAATTGTTAGATATCTTGTTAAATAAATGGAATATTATCAATATTAACATTTAAAAAGATAATATTATTTGAAATTGTTAAAATATGGTAAGCAACTGCGTTGCAGATATACAAAGTGAAAATGCTTGATCAGTGATTATTTCTTCATCTTCATTATATTTTCCTTGTTATGTTAAATATCCCGACTACTCTTGGAGTCTGTCGATCGGTATCAAGATCAAATTACTATGAAATCAATATAATGATTGAGAGAAAGTCGATATATGAGATACCGATGATACGAGCCGAAAGAAAAATGAAATAAAATAATAAGCGGGGAATATATTGATAGTATTTTTATGCCTCATTTTAACGATAAGAGAAGAGAAGAAAAGAAACGCGGAGATTAATGTTTTTTAGGGTTACTTTTATTAAGTTAACGGTAATAATAGCGTAATAATTGGATTGCAGTAAGAGTTTAGCAAGAAATAAAATTGCGACAAAAGCAACCTAAAACTCGTTGCAGCAACAAGTTGAGGTAAAAAAAAAATTTAAATAAAAGTACTTTTTTTTTCATAAGTATAAGTTAACCAAGCCGATTCGTTCCGGTAGGAAGTAATTCTGGATTTTATTGCCTAGAAAGTGAATTGAGAGCGGCCTGATGGGACATAAACACCGAGATCGGCTTAAACATCGACATCTAGATCAGGATTGGAAGTAAATAGCCGAGGCACGCGTGGATTTTAATTTTTATTTTTAATATTATATAGTTATGGAGTCGATTTGATTGGTGATGGCTAATAAAGGCCTGGGTAATGTCGCTCAACTAAACTGGGTATCAGAAATCAGAGGAATCAGCGAGCAAGTGAATAGCTGATAGTTGATAGTGAATGCGATTAAACTCATCGATCTTGCGATAAACGTCCAGTGAAAACAAGGATTAGAAATCGATGGGCGTCGCCGACACTCTGATCCGTCAATTTAATTCCCTCGTATACATCGGCTTATAAATTAACAAGAATTATAAAAATAATTAACAAGCTTTTGCTGATTATAAATTGGTTAGTATTATAATTATAATAATATTATTAATAAAATTACAGGCACGAGTGTAAATAGAAGACGTCACTTGTCAGTGTCGCTCATATCAATCTCCCGGATTTTCTTAACTGGATCCAATCGGGGAGTGTGTAATCACCAGGAACTCGCGTGCTTACATCAGATAATAAAAATTCATTTTATTTTTGTTAATATAAAAATAACAAATTGCGATGAAGACTAAAAGAAGGTAATTCCCTTACATGTAGATATTGAGGAGAGGAAGCGATCGTGGGAAGGAGGATTAATACGTGCCCACTGATATTGCAGTTGCAAGTGGATACACATATATTATATATAACGTAAAACATCCAACAGAAATAATATTTATATGCTGATGCTGAAGAAAGAGAAAGATGAAAATGGTAACGGAATTTGCGCTCCCGGTGAACGCAGCATCCGAACCTACTTATGTACACGAACGTGCCGATCCCGCGTTTCCTCTCGCTAATCTTTTACTATTAAACTTCATATATTAATACACACACGTATAATTTAAAGCGCTTCCTTAAGAGCCCTTTCATATTTTCTAGCCTAGAAATTTTAATTAATTTTTTTTTTTTTATTTCTTATTGTAATTATTTCTTCTTTTTTTTTTTTATTATTTTAATGAGTACTTTGCACTTGAAATTAAAAAAAAATCTTCACGATAAAATAATTACAATATTGAAAGAAGAAAATTTTTTAATATTTAATAAACATTTTTTTTTTTTTAATTTCATATTTCTCAAAAAAAAAATCTTAATTAATTAACTCTTAATAAATTCTTATCAATGTCAGAATTTCATATTTCTCAAAAAAAAAACTTAAATTAATTAACTCTTAATAAATTCTTATCAATGTCAGTAAAAAAAAAAAAAAAAAAAAAAAAAAGATGAGTGAAGGGATTAATAATTGAATATTTGAGTATTTAACGATAAAAAATTAAATTAAAAGAACACACAATAAATAAAAATATAAAAAAGCAATAATTCAGTTTTGATATAAAACGGGTGATATCAAACGGCAATCGCTTAGCCCTGGGGCATCTTTCCGTTCATCTTTTCGCCGTTTATCTCACGACATAAATAAAAGTAAAAATATAAATAAAAAGGGTGATGGCGATGCACAGCACACACCCAGTTTAAAAGTAGACGCTGGCTGCTGATGGTGCAGCCTGATGCAGATACTGATGGTGATGTTTCAGCCGATGTTGATGTTGATGTTGTTGTTGCTGTATAAAATATAAAATACAAACTGAAAGTACAGCGTAGAGTACAAGCGGCCTCGGTCTTACTCTTGCGTTACAGTTTTGCCACGCCCCGATCGAGACAGCTCATCTCGCGAAAGTGAAACGCAATAAAGGAGCCGCGAGCATATTAGTAACTGAGTTAAGTATTAAAGGTTTTAAACTGCTAGTCCGTACTGTACCGAGTAACGCAACATTTCTTCTTCTTCTTATTCTTCTCTTCTAGCCTACGATAAAATTTAATAAAACAAAATTAAAATAAAGATGAGATCTCTGATATCCTCAACTCAAGAAATTGTTTCTTCACATACAGAGCCTCAACTTACTGTTTTTTTTTTTTTTTCTATCTCGTATCATCGATTTATTCAGCTCCATTTTTAGTCGAAAAAAAAAAATAATACTATTGTTAATGTATATTATTACTTTTCTCTTGTATTATTTAAAGATCCGATTGACTAATCAGGGAATTATATCACGTTTCGGCAGGTCCGTTCTTTTTTTGCTCTAGTTTCTCCGATTTCACCAACATTTTATTTTATTATATTATATTTTATTAAATTTACTTAATTCACCCTAATTTTGTTTATGTATAAAGTTGAATTGTTCGGCAAAGTAATGTATATAAACAAGGAATATTAATATATATATTAATATAAAATAAATTGTTAAGTTTTAAACGCAAGTAGATTTAGTGAATTAATATATATTGTTAAATATAAATAATTAAAATGAAATTTAGACTTGGTATCGAGGCTCAATTTAGTTAGTTAAATAAAATTTAGATTTATATTCTTTAGTTGAGTCAATTAATAAAATGTCTGATGATATTGCTCATCGTTCAATCTCATTTAAACTTATTAATTTTTAAGTTATTAACTGTTATTCTTCATGTTAACACGGTAATTATTTATTACTCACTGTCTTCTTTATTTTTGTTGTTTTAAAAATTTTTTAAATGTTTTATTAAAATTTTTATCAAATTTTATTTATAATTCTAGCGATTGGAAAAATTAAGGGTGAAATTTAAATAATTACCGTAGCCATTAAAAACTCATGTAAAACTAAAAAAAAAAAATTGTTAAAGCCTTGAAATCTAAAATGGCGAATGAAATTTAAAAGTTGAATCATTGCGTAATAAAATTCAAGTCACGTTGACTCAAAGGGAACCCACCGAAAGCCCACAATACTAAAAAAGATAATATAAAGAAAAAAAATAATATTTCTTCTCTTCCGAATGACTTGATCATTGATTAACTCGATTAATCACTCTTGTAAGAATTAATAATTATTTTTGATGATATTTAAATAGACTTTCGAAATCAAAGCCGCAATGTTTACGCCAAATAATAAAAAATAAAATTTTGTAAAAGGTTTTTCTGCGCGGTTAAAAGATTTTAAAACAAACGCACTTATAAATATTAAGACAATAGAGAATCCTACGACAATAATGTCGCGATAAGTTAAATGAATATTTATAATTATTTTATTGTAATTAATTTTATTCCTACCGTTTTTAATTTAAAGATATAATTATAAACGATTACTCGTTAGTTTAAATACGATTGTGATTTCGAGGTTACCGATTTATACGTAAATATATTATGTATGAATAATATGTTAAAACATTTTTAATAAGTTTCAGTATACATAGTTATAAGTTATATATAAATATATAAATACGTTATCGACAGCCTGATTAATTAAAGTTTAAAACTTGGAGGGTGTGTCTGTATTCAAGTTTTAATAGTTTAATGTTTTAATTATACACCTATGAGGTCTGATATTTTAAATTTGCGAATAAAATTTAATATTTTATTTTTGGGACCGAATTAAAAGAAGAAATTTAATATTTTATAAAAATGTTTTTATCTTATAAATAAATATAAATTTTATATTTGGGACCAAATTGAGTGAAGAAATGATATATTTTATGTAATAAATAAATATTTTGTAGTCACTTAGTGACTGTATATATGTTAATATGTAACATTGAAAAATATTAAAAATAAGAAATTATTTACTTAAAAAATTATTTTATTTATTTTTACAACTAAAAATATAATTTAAATATTAATATTATTTAATTGATTTGTGGTTAAAATTAATAATTACTAATTAATATTTTTTCTACAGAGACTCGAATTGAAAATGATATTCAGCCAATTAAAAAACACTCAGCATTACTCAGCAGTAAAAGAAGATTGCAAAATGACTTATAAAGCTCGGCAGAGATCAAAAAAGGGACGGACGTGAAAGAAAAACCACGAGTGCATCAATCTGCTTTCTCCAGCTCGGACCATCAATCTCCAGTCTCTTTGTTTCTTTCTTCGTGCTCTGCCCGAGTAAATAAAAGATAAATTCTCAACGTTACATATACATGAATACATGAGCGAGCAAATTGTTCCACTAAAATTCTAAACCCAAGAAAAGTCTTTTTCTTCCAGAATTTTATTTTTTCCCAACTACTGAAATTTTCTTATAGGCCATTTTAGCGGGCCGAAAATAAAGATGGGCGGACAATTAATTATAACGTGGGAACAAGATTGCTAGGGTCATAGGTGTGTGAGAACCGGAACAGCTGGACTCTGGCAACATCGAGGACTACGTGACTTTGTAGACAAATTGTTTTTAATGTCGCATTTTTCCTAAATATGAAATACTCTTCATTGTTCAAGTTAAACTTCTTCAACTCGTCTTCTTGCTTTATATTTATACTTGTTATATTTACTCACCAGTAGTGAGTACTATTTACCATCGCAATTAACTTTAAGAGCGCAAATAAATGTTTGCATAAATAAATATAATTTAGTGTAATTGCTGAGGAAGAAAGTTTATTAATGAATTAATAATAATAAAAAGCATCAGGGTGGACGCGACTAATGATGCCCAATGATTTCTTAAAGTCTCATTACGGTGAACGTGACTTTGACCCAGTTTAAATAACACTGCAAAACTGTTTCGCGAGTTAGCAATCCACCTAAATCTTTATTTTATTTTATTTACTGCCGATTTTTACTTTGAATTTATTTTCATCGGCGTTTACATTTTTACTTATTTATCAAGGAAAATATTCATTAATCTTCTTCGTCTCCTACTTACACTTAAGTGCTACTATATTTAATCTCTAATTTGTTCGCATTCCTATTTAGATTATATTATTACTTTTCGTTTATTTTTTAAATATTCTATCTCTGTAAAAAATATTATAAATTTGTAAAAATGTTCATAATCGAAAATTAATAATAATTATTGTACATAAAAAAAAAATAATTATAAAAGTTTGAAATAAAAATTTAACAATAATTAAGTAAATAAAGAAAAAATAATGAGACTAAAAAAATGACAGTAAATTAGAACAAACGTAATGGACATTTGAATAACTTAAGCGAGTAAGCCTTGAAACTGATGACAACAGAGGAGATGGATTGCTAATACAATGATAGTGTTGCTCTTTAGATGATGAATCATCAAATTATCATCATCATCCTCCTCATTATTATCATTATTGTTGTTGTTAGACTGAGCAACGATGATCTTGGTATAAGTCTGAGGTCTCAATACTCGGATGGTTTAACTTTGAAACGAATTTCGCCGTTTAAGGCTTCACCGAATTAGACTTATGTTTTTCAAGAATTAATACTTGAGGCTTCCAAACACTGATCATTATTCTCGAGGTCCTCTACTCGAATACCTACAGGAAAATTTGGTACATTCTACTTGAATTAACTACTATTGAATGTCATTTGGTGGATTTGACAGAAGTCAGACTATACTTATATCAATTTCGGCGGTCTAATGGTATTTTTGATCCAATGCAATTGATTTTTTATCAGTAGTAAATTTTTTAGGCCAAACGGTTTAATAGTTTACTAACAACCTTGCAGTCACTAAGTGACTGCCGTGACTTGTAAACTATAAATAAATAAAATTTTGCTTTATTAAATAATGACTTTTGTTAAATTGCACTGTATTTTTTTAGCTACTGAAGTTTTTAAAGATATAAGCTTATCCCGATGATACACTCTTCAAGAGCTTTCATTTGAGTACCCACGTGCATTTTTATATATTTTTCATATATACATATATATAATATATATATATATATATATATGAAAAATTGATGTGGGTACTTAAATGAAAGGTCTTGATGAGTGTAACATCGGGATGAGCTTGTATCTTTAAAAATGTCAATAGTTCACGAGATACACGGTCATTTCTTAATTATCTATCTAGAGATAGAGTATTTTCAAATGCAGCCTATGCTTATCATCATAAATTGACTATTGATGAAAATGGTATGAAATCATGAAAAGGTACAACTTCAGGTCAAGACTTTTCCAACGATACCAAATTTCACCATAAAAACCCATTTTATCATATAAATACACTGGCCACAAAATTTTGCTTATTCTCTTAATAATATGGATTATTTTTTTGAAAAATTTAGAATTGCCAGAGTGTGCCAGGATGTGTTAGGCTTTTAAACTCTCGATAAATTTATTTCTAATAATCATTAAATACTAATCGAATTGTTGCCGCACCCCCCTACAAGGTTTTTAGACCAAAAAGTTGTTTAGTTTATTATTTTTTTAGAAATGTAGAATTTTCAAAATTATATCCTCGCGTGTCTAGAGTAAGTCAGATTAGATTTTAAAACTCTCGATAAATTTATTTCTAATGATTATTATTATTATTATATACCAATCGAATTGTTTTTGCATCCCTTAAAAGATTCTAAGGCCAAACAGTTGATTAGTTTCTTATTTTTTAAAAAATTTATAATTTTCAAAGTTACATCCTCGCGTGTCCAAAATCAAAACTTATTATTTTTTCAAAGATCTGAAATTAAGATAGAAAAGCTACTTTTATTTTGACTGCTCAATGGCGTTTGTATCCTAATTCCAATATTGCTGACTAATTTTAAATAATATAGATATTTTACCCAGCTAATGTAACTGGAAAACTTGAAATGACTCAGGCTCTTATATTAATAAGACTATAACAATAAGTTACAAGTTTCTTTAAAAATTTATAAGATTCATTTATTTACAAATAATTGTCATGTTAATTCAACTAGTCGTTAAATATTAATAATTGCTAGTTTTTTTTTTAAGTATCATCTCAAGTGATTTATAAAAATATTTAATCATCATTCATTTCCAAGGCACGGATTGTAATTCCCATTGCTGCTCAAAGTTTCCATTGCACGCAGCTATTACCGGGCCTTCATCGCGGTTTGGATTCACGGCTAAACACATTTCAGAGCCGGTATGAATTAATGCCTTTGTCTGTAAAAAAAAAAAAAATTACCATCGACCCCAAATTAATTTCAATACCAAACAAATAAAAAAAAAAAATATTTACATTATGATTATAATTCCACTTTTGCCTCGCAAGTCCATTGCAGGCCATTATTTTGACCTTGGGTTTCTCGTGTTTAGTATCACGCTCCGGAGCGTCCAAGCAAACACTCTCGTCAGTCATAACAATGCCATCTTTAGTCATAACAAACATTTGGATGAGATCAGGAGGACTGACACAAGGCTCAGTAACCGCATACCCAGCAGGTTGGGCATACATGCCCTTGGTGAGGGGTTTCATCAAGCAGTTACCTGTCTGCCGATGAACGATTTTCCCGAAGAATCTATCATCTTTAGGAAAAAAGTGGTCTGGCCAAACGTTGTCCAGATACCAGTCGAAGCCGCGACACTTGAGTCTGTCTCTCAGCGCAAGTCTTTCGCGGATCTGCTGTTTGTCACGGAGCCTCGCTGCTTCGGGGTTGAATTTAAAGTAAAACTCCGCCCAGTCGTCCATCCAGACCAGCGCAACCCTCGCCAAATTCGCGTAGAGAATGTCTCCTACCCCCCCGGGGAAGGTGTACGGGGAAGACTTTCTAAATAGATGTCCGACATGGGAGCAAGGCGCGATCTCGACGCTTCCTCCACATTGCCAAACTCGGAATGACAACTCGAGATTTTCTCCTCCCCAGATCTTCATCTGGTCGTCGTAGCTTCCAAGCTCGAAAAAGTACTCACGGTCCATTGAAAATAGCCCTCCAGCCATTGCCGGGGTCTTGAACGGTTCGACAATATTCTCACGACGTTGCTTCATCAATGGACCGCTCAATGTCAGCCAACGGAAGTGCAAATCCCAATTGAATGCTCCCCAGTGTAATTCAAATGACCTGAAATATTTAATCTATATTATTAAGAGAATAAGAAAAATTTTGTGGTCAGTGTATTTATATGATAAAATGGGTTATTATGGTTAAATTTGGTATTATTAGAAAGGTCTTGACCTGGAGTTGTGCCTTTTCAAGGCTTTATATCATTCTCGCCAATAGTCAATTTATGATAAGTATTTAGGCTCCATTCAAAAATGCTCTATCTCTAGATACATAATTAAGAAATGACCCTGTATTTCGTGAACTATTGACATTTTTGAAGATATAAGCTCATCCCGATGTTACACTCATCAAAACCTTTCATTTGAGTACCCACATCAATTTTTCATATATTTATATATCATATATTATATATGTATATATGAAAAATATATCAAAATGCATGTGGTTACTCAAATGAAAGCTCTTGATGAGTATAACATCGGGATGAGCTTGTATCTTTAAAAACGTCAATAGTTAAGAAATTACAGTGCAATTTAACAAAAGTAATTATTTAATAAAGTAAAATTTTATTTATTTATAGTTCACAAGTCACAGCAGTCAGATAGTGACTGCAAGATTGCTAGTTATTATTAATTGATAATATTTCAAGCAATTGCCCTGATAGCCAGAGTTTCAGACCAAAAAAGTTGGTGTCAGATAGTTGTCACCAACTCAGCGACAACTTGCAGTCAAGTTCCGAATTTGTAACTGTTGGCATAAAGTTAGCTACAAGTTTTTGAGAAAAAGAAGACCAATCTACCACCGCAATATGTCGCCAAATTTCTTGAGAAACTTGTCGTCAACTTGATGTGAAAAAGTTTCAGAAGCAGTTTTTGCTGACAACTTGATGAACAAGTTGACACCAACCGAGTTCATTTTCAAGACTTGTTGCCAACTTGGTGACAAGTTGCGAACAACTTGGTTATCAGGGTGATCAATCAAACCATTTATTTTGCATATTTATTTTACCTCGTGTATGCAAATGTATCATCGTTGATAATATCAATCACTGGTGCGACTATTCGTGTTCTATTTTTAGAAATAGCTTCCAATAATGGTTCCAGCCATCCTGAGATAAAGTAAATTAAAAATATTAATTAATATCTTAATAAAAAAAATGAATAAACTTAGTTTCAAGCTAAACTATCTTACCTACCAACCGTACATTCGCAGTGGGCGTCAAGAAAAGTTAAAACTTGACCTTTAGCTTGCTTGGCTCCAATTAACCGCGCGTTTATTAACCCCACGCGGGTACCAGACCTCAAAACTCGGGTTGGAACTGCCAGAGTCTTGACATACTCATCCAGGGACTCTTTTAAAAATTCTGAAAAATTTTTTTCATTGTAAAAAAATAATTCTGCTAGCAATTAAATAATTAATGTACCTCGATCGCTGTTGTCATCGACAAGAATAATTTCTTTGAGCAATTTTCTGGGTGATCTGTTGATAACACTATAAACAGTTCTCATGAGCGTGCTCCAAGCCTCGTTGTGGAAGACAATAATAACAGAGGTCTCGGGTAAATCAGTCAAATTAGCATATCTAATAATACATTTTTTCTTCCTGACATCCGGCAGCGTTCTGTTCAAGGGAATTCGATCACTCGCCATCAGGTTGAACCTGTTGATCTGAAAGAGCTGTTGCATTACAGGAAAGTCTTTTGAAGATATAAGTACTGGTTCTCCATTTTTGCCATCGTAAGCTCGCGGGTTGAACATATTTTTGTTTACGATTTCTTTAGTCACGTTCGGAGTCTTCATCGGGTCGACCGAGTCGCCTATGTAATGTCCAACTACTACATGGATCCCTTTTCTGTCTATATAATCTCTTTGATCATCTGTCAATCTAAAAAAAAAAAAATTCTGTTATTAAAAGTGATTAATTACAATATGACAAATAAAAAAAAATAAAAACAGTTATTCAGCAACAGGAAATAATTTTCTGGTTTAAAAACTCATCAGTGAATATTTTAATAACAAAAAAGCATTTCCGTAGCGTCATTACAAACTAACTGTACACGCAATTTCTGCGAACACCAACAATAATAACAATAATAATACGATAACAAAAATTACCTTAATGACCCGTAATCGTCAGCATATTCACTACTTTTTAGCTTCTTATGTGACCAAACAAGAACCATTAAAATAATTAGGATAGTTGATAAGACTAGGGGCCAAGTGCGACAAATTTTTCTGAAAATCGGCCACATATTTTTTTTATTTTATTAAGTTTAGATTTAAAATATTTAAATGTTTGATTTAGTGTGAAACTGGCTTCATAATTCTTCTTAATTACATCAGATCATTTTAACGGCTTATCACAGCTCGGGTCAGGTCACGAGGAACTAATTCTGCAAATTTAAATTAAAATAAAATAAAATAATACATCATATTACTTTTTATTATTAAACAGATATAATTATTAATATTTATGTTAGTATGTACGTACCAGAAGAATAATTGAAACGCAAGCGCTATAGATCCGGAGATATTTTCACCTGGAATTACGCTGAAGAACAATAGGAAATAGTTGCATTACAAAAAACAAAGATTATTAACTGACCCATCCCTCTCACGCTTCATGAATTCCTTTCTTAATATTGCTATTTTATGTATCCATGCATAACTTATATTACATACAACTTTTCACATTATTATTTTTATAAAAACACTTTATCCGAAAAATAAATCCCGGCTGATTATTTTTTACTTTTGATTTTAGTAATTCTTTATTCTTTATTGCAAGTTTAAGTAATTAATTATTAAGTAATTAATTGAAAGTAAAAAATATTTATTACTGTAATTATTTTTTTATACAACCGCTGGAAGTGACAGTAAGTAGCGCGTCCGCAGTACAAACCGCACTGTTTTCTCATTCCGAGCCAGGTTTCGACAACTAATGACGTCACTATGGAGACAGTATACATTCTATAAACGTCACTGTCTATAGTTTCAATTCAAGCCTTTTAAATTCTCCGTCTTCAGCGCTTTTTATCACCTTATTTTTCTTATTCATTACATAAAATTAAATATATTTATGAAAAAAATTTTTATTCAAAGTCTCTATTAAATTATAATTACCTCACAAAATTAATTATTCAAAAACTAGAATTTTTTTTAGTTTGAAATGTCCCGCGCATGCACTGGAAATTCTGCCACTAGAGCGCGCTGATTGTTGGATGTTTGACCGAAATATTTTTTTTAAGTAAATAAAAAAATAAAAATACAATTTTTGAGTATTTAGGTTCTTTTATCAAAAAGCAAAAAAAAAAATATTTTACTCTCAATCAGTTTTCAGAAAAAAAAATTATTTTATTTATTTTTTAATTAAATTCTGAATTTTTATTTTTTGCGCATGTCCAGCAAATTTTTTGCTCTTCAAACTCCAACGGTTTTCCGTGTTATTTACTAGCGTCATGTGTCATGTGAAATGTAATTAGAAGCCTGTGATTAATTAATTTTAATATATAGAAAGATTGTGTATTTAATGAAGATTTGTTGAGTTTTATTTGAAACTTTAATTAGAAATAATAAGTAAGTATTTTTTTGACGTCTGTGAAATTTTGTGGTTATCCAAAGTAATTTATAAAAAAGGACGCCAAATTTACCGCCAAAAAATAACTTTTTATTTATTTCAATATTTACATTATTTTCCATAGATTATTAATTAAATATTACAAAAAAAATTTTTTCTTATTCATACGATTTTTATTTGTAAAGATTATATAATTAAAATTGATTATTTATCCGGTGATCAATTACCTAACCTTTCTAATTTTTTTCTTGACTTGAAATTATAAGTTAATTATAGATTTTATTGCAATTAATTTTCTAGAGTGCATATCATTGATAATTTTTTTTTTTATAAGAAAATATAATCTTATTTGTCTTTATAAATAAAAATAATATTAAACTTCGCGCCATATATTTAAAATAATTATCTAACAAATCATGATATTAAAGTTAGTCGACATTCGACGATTTTTAATTTTTTTTATTAATTAAATTAAGACTAAAACAATATTTTTAAAAAATTGCACGTGTAATTTTTCAAAATAACTGAATATGAAATTTTTTTTAAAATAATTTTTCAATAAAAAAAATTATACAAATTTTTAGAAGTCGGCTAACTTAATTATCATAACAAATCAATTACTAATTAAAATGTCTTACAGGTATAAATAAAAAAAAAAAAATGTCACCGAAGCGTTCTCGAGAAAACGGTGACTCTGACTTGGAGGATGACGAGCAATCAGACGAAGAAGAAGGAATCCGAATCGATGACGAGATATATATTCCACCGCCTCCACGCAGAATGAGCCAAATCAGAAAAAATGGTGCTCGTCTTATAATTTCCAAGATAAGAATCACGAATTTTAAAAGTTACGCTGGTAAGGTTGAACTTGGACCGTTCGATAAGCATTTTTCAGCCATCGTCGGTCCGAACGGTAGTGGAAAGAGTAACGTTATCGACGCGATGCTCTTCGTCTTCGGATTTCGCGCATCTAAGATCCGTTCAACAAGTGTCGGCGTTTTGATTCACAATTCCGCTGAGCACCCCAAGATCACGAGCTGCAAAGTTTCTATATACTTCGAAAAGGTAATTGAAGAGCCTGAAGGCTACCGGACAATTCCCAACACCCAGCTCAAGATTTCTCGTCGTGGATATAAGAATAATTCTTCACGTTACGAGATGAACGACAAAGAAGTGCCATTCAAAGCGATTGAACGTCAATTAAAAAGTGAAGGAATTGATCTCGATCTCAGTCGGTTCTTAATTTTACAAGGTGAGGTGGAGCAAATCGCCCTGATGAAGCCAAAAGCTGCCAACGAGAACGACACGGGAATGCTCGAGTTTCTTGACACCATCATTGGGACCAACAGGATCAAAGAACCGTTGGTGAAAATATCCGAGAAATTGGAGGATTTGACTGAAAAGTTCAAAGATGATGAGCGACGCCTGCGGGTGGTTGAAGAACAACGCGATGAATTGCGTGAACTGATGAAGGAAGCTGTTCAGTACTTGAAGAGGGAAAATGTTATTACTGAATTAAGAAATACCTATTTTCAGGTCAAAAAGTACGATACGCTACAAGAGGTAAAGGATAAAGAAAATGCAAACCGCGAATTCGAGGAACAGCACGCGAATTTGATGGAAGAAATAAAAAATGTGAAGAAAAACTTCGCTGAGAAGACTGGCGAGTACGACGAGAAGAATAAAAAATGGTCGGATGTCCAACGCAGAAAAGATAGGATTGACCAGCGGTACCAAGAACTCAGTACTCATGATGAAAATTTACACAGTCAGCTCGTCGAAGCAAACAAGCGTCGGAAGGAAAATAAAGTGAAGATTGAAAAAGAGCTAGAGAATCTGGAGGAGCTTCAACGAGCGCCGGAGAAAAATGCTAAAGATATTGAAGAGTGCGAAAATTTTATTGAGAAACAGGAGGTCATTTACGATCGCGAGAAACGCGAGCTCGAGGAAATTACTCAAGCAATTCAACAGAAGACAGAGCCGCTCACTAAAGAACGTGAAGTCTTCGAACGACAGAGGATGAAGTTTACCGAAGAGTTGAATCAAGCTCGCGCTGCTTTAAATCTCGCGGAAACTGAGCTCAATGTGTATTTATCGATGGAAGAGACCGAGCGGGAAGCGTTAGAAAAAGTTACCGATGAACTTCAAACAGCAACACAGAAAATTCAAGAATACGACCGAGAGTTAAAGAGCTTAGAGAAGAAACTACCGAAGACAGAGGAGACTTTTGAGAAAGCTAAGGACAGGTTGAAGGTAGTTAAGGCTCGAGAGGCTGAATTGAGTGACAAGTTGACTAAGTTGCGAGCGACATACAATGAACAAAGTCACGCGATGAACAGCAACAAGTCAAGAAATAAAATTTTAGTGGCTTTGATGGAGGAAAAAAATTCTAAAAGGATTCCGGGGATACTGGGTCGGCTTGGAGACCTCGGGGGTATCGACGCGAAGTATGACATCGCAGTCTCTACAGCTTGCGGACCGCTGGATAATATTGTTGTAGATACCGTGGAAACCGCCGAGGCTTGCATTAATTTTTTGAAGGAAAAAAATATTGGTAGAATGACTTTCATTGCTCTGGAGAAGCAGCAACACTTGGTGGAACAGATGAATAAAGCGATTAAAACTCCAGAGAATGTACCTAGGTTGTTTGACTTGATACAAGTCAAAGATCAGCGAGTGAAACCGGCGTTTTATTTCGCTTTGAGGAATACTCTGGTCGCGCAGGACCTGGAGCAGGCCACCAGGATTGCTTACGGAGAAAGAAGATATCGTGTGGTAACTCTCAAGGGTGAGTTGATTGAAACTTCCGGGACCATGAGTGGAGGAGGCATTCGTGCAATTTCAGGACGCATGGGTCAGAGTGTAAGAACAGCTGAGGTCAGTCCTGAGGATCTTGAAAGGTTGAGAAAGAAGTTGGATGATGTTTTCAACGAGTGCAATACGCTGAGAGCTCAGCAACCAGCTCTGGAGGAACAGATCAGGACTCTGTCAACAGAACTCCAGGAGATGCAGAGGAATAAGGTCCAATTTTCGTCTCAGTTTGAGAAATTCAAGGCCTTGGAGCTGGAGTTGAAGAAAAAGTTGAAACTTCAGGAAAATAAAGTCAAGAAGGCTGTTATTGATCCTAAGAAGGTCGAGCAATTGACAAAGGCTAAAGATGAGATGCAGGAAAATTTTGAAATTGTTAACAGCAAGTTTCAAAAGATTCAGGATAAAATTGATAAAATTAATAGTAAGATAAATGAAATCGCGGGGACTAGGATTAATGAGAAGAGAAAATTAATAGATAATCTTAAAGAGGGAATTGAGAAGGCCAAAAAAGAAATCACCCGGTTGAAAGTTGCTTCTAATGCAGCAAAGAAAAATGTTGCTAAAATAAAACTAAAAATTGAGGATCTGGAGAATTCGATTGAGCAGTGTGTTAAGATTATTACTGATGGCCAGAAGGAGAAGGCTGAGTTGGAGGAAGAGGCCAAAGAATTGAAACAGAAGCAAACTGAGTATCTAGAAGCCTTGCGGGAGCGAGATCAAGTTCTTGAGGGGCTAACTCAAGAAATTAAAGAGCTCAAGTCTCAAGCAGATGCTCTTAAGTTGAGTAAAATAGATTTGGATTCGAGGGTTGATGCTAGTAGGAAAGAGATCGCTGAGTACCAAAAAAAAGTTAAGGATTATGATGCTAAACTGGCGGCATTGAAGTTAAACAAGATTCCAGAACACGCGGAAGAGGCTTTAAAAGAATTTACTGATGATGAGGTAATATTTTTATATTATTAATTTTTTTAAGCCTGTTACCCGATCCAATTCTTGAAGAATGTTCAATTTTTTATTATTATTCTTTCACCATAATATTTTTCGGTATGAGGTCTCATACCATCAGAAAATTCTTAAGTGAAATTACAACAATTAAAATTTATTTCGACAATTTTTGTTAAAAAATCTGTAAAGCTGTAATTTTTTACTTAGTGTAACTTTTTCGATAATATCACTTAAGAATTTTCTGATGGTATGAAACCTCATACCGAAAAATATTATGGTGAAATAATAATAATAAAAAATTGAACATTCTTCAAGAATTGGATCGGAAAACAGGCTTAAAAAAATCGCGTTACTAAAACCAGAAGAGCGTATCTCAAAATATACGCCCTTGTGATTCTGCAGAACCAAAAAGACGTATAAAAAAATTTTTTTTGCTCCAATCAACGTAAAAATGTTGAAAACATTAATATCTATGGAAATAACGAAAAAAAAAAAAATTTTTTTGTTATACGCCCTTATGGTTTTAAGAAAAAATTTTTTTAAAATCATAAGGGCGTATCCTGTTTTTTCGGTTTATTATCAGTTGTAGGTCAGATTAGGGAAAAAAATTGCAAAGATAATAAAAATGATCATCCCACAACTTAATTCATATCAACAAATATTTATTTAAAACGAAATTTTTTTTAGAATATTACTTTGATACTACCGATGATATTTTTGTGGGACGGTGCCTGATGTACCGAATTGATTTAGGTCATCAAACTTACTTCAAGATATTGGTATTAAAGAATCATAACAATTCTCAAAAACAAAGTTCTTTTTGAATGACTTTTTAAAATTAAAGTTCTAAATGGTTTACAAAACTCTTTTTTAAATGTTATGTTGAAAAAAAAATTTTTTTTTTTAAATCTTAGGTAAGGTAAAAGCCCCAATAGATGATATTGTATACCTATATTCACAAATATAGGTATACAAATACATGAAGTGATCATATACTGGTACATGATCATCTATTGGGGCTTTTACCTTACAGATGATCCTAACGGTGGGGATGGCATAGAACTAATACCCTGATGAATTTATTTTTTCTTAATTTTTCATTCGTTTTTTTACTTAAATAAATATTTGTTGATATAAATTAAGTTGTGGAATGATCATTTTTATGGTATTTGCAATTTTTTTTCTTAATCTGACCTATAACTGATAATAAACCGAAAAAACCGGATACGCCCTTATGACTTTAGAAAAATTTTTTCTTAAAACCATAAAGGCGTATAAGAAAAAAAATTTTTTTTTTCGTTTTTTCCATACTTATTGTTTAGTTGTATAGTTATTGTTTTCAACATTTTCTGCAGAACCATAAGGGCGTATATTTTGAGATACGCTCTTATGGTTTTAATAACGCGAAATAATATCTATCTTTATTAATTAAAAATACCAATCTTCGAGTCATATATTTTTAAATAATTTAATATTTTTCAATATTTTTTAGTTGGCCAACTTGGACGCCAAGACAGTGGGAGCAAATTTGGCTGCAGCGAAAGAAAGATTGCCTAAAGAGATGCCGGATCTGAAGAATATAGAGGAATTTGAAAGAGTAAATCAACGATATTTGAAGCGTGCGAATGAATTCGAAGAACTATCAACAGCTAAAAATGTGATGCGTGATCATTACAACTCGATAACAAAAATGAGACGCGATGAATTCAAAGTTGGGTTTGATAAAATCTGTCAATCGCTAAAGGAACTCTATCAAATGATAAGTCACGGAGGTGCAGCTGATCTCGAGTACGCAGATTCTCTGGATCCTTACGCCGACGGAATCGTCTTAAGTATTAGACCGCCGAAGAAGTCCTGGAAAAACATCAGAAATTTAAGTGGAGGTGAGAAAACTTTGAGTTCGTTAGCGCTGATTTTTGCCTTACACAACTACAAGCCTACTCCTCTCTACTTCATGGACGAGATAGACGCGGCGTTGGATTTTAAGAATGTTTCTATTATCGCGAACTATATTCAAGACTCAGCTGAAAATGTCCAGTTTACCGTGGTCAGCTTGAGGTCAGAGATGTTCGAGCTAGCCGGAACGCTGGTTGGAATTTACAAAACTAAAAATTCCAGTAAATCGGTTACCGTGGACATGGTAGAATTCTATAAGTTGCACCCGGAGTTTAAAAAAAAAGATCGCCACGACAATCCACCGCGCAAACACGAAAATGGTTTTCATAATGAGAATATGCCACTGACGAGTAAAAACGCATGAAAAGATTCTCCATTCGTAATGTATATAAATATAAATAGTTCAATTATGTTTATTAAAAAAAAAAATAAAATAAAAAAAAAGATATTTATCTATATATATCTATATATGCATTGATGTAAGATAAAAATTAAATCCATTTAATTGATCTCAATAAATAAAACTTTTTTATAATAAATCCTTTGATATAAATTAATTAAATTTCTTTTTTTATTAAATTTAATACACTAAAAAAAATTTAATTTTTTATATTGATAAAAACTTATTTAAAAAATAGTTAATTATAATTAATTATTTTAATTAAATTGTTTATTATTATTACCATTATTATTATTATTATTACTCAAAAGAAAAAAGTTACAAAGTAAGTATTTAATTCAATACATTAATCAATAAAAAATAAATTCAAGGAAAACCATCATCGTCCTCCTCAGCCATTTCCTTCGCCAGCTCCAAGTCCTGTTGCTCGCGCTCTCGGCGCTCTTCCGCAGACTCTAGATCCTTACCATAAGACTTCGGAGGATAACGCATAGCCTTAACACTCTGATTGTGCAAGTCGAGACAGAAAGTTATCCGCTGGTGGAACGCCAGCAATGGTTCCCGGGTGCAGTAAATATCAGTGCTTTCCTTGCTTCGCATGTACCCATTTTCCGGGTCAAGAGTCGCTTCAATTACACCATCGCGGATCGCTTTGGCCACAATAAACTCAGCGTCAACTCCAGAGTCGAGACCCAGCTTCCGAGCAATGTCTCCCGGTGAAATTCTGGAGTACGAGGACCCGATTGACCGGATCGCAGTCTTGATAACATTGTGTCTCAGACGGAGAATCAAAGTGAAGGTGTGATCCAAGCGGAACTGGGGACCATAGTTCTCCAAGACCTCTCCGAAGCGGTGCAAATTTCCCAGGCGTACTGCTTGGGTGAGCTGGAAGTACGGCGCCAGAGCTCGTCTCAGTGGAGCAGTCCTGAAGATCTGCCTCTCGGGAATGTCTCCAAGAAGAAGCTCGACAGTGACGGCCAACTTTTGGACCGTCTGACGGAATCCGATGGCAGTGGACTGAGGAGCCTTGCGCATCGCTTGGACCAAGTACTTGTGGGCAGCAGAGTACTCCAACCTCGCGGCCTTGATCCTTCCTAGGTAATAGAGGTATCTGGCCCACTCGTTGTTGCTGGCAGTCTCGGGGAAGGTCGACTTGAGCACGAGCTTGTCAGCTTGGTCGTACAAGTTGTAGTGCAAGTAGTTGCGCAACAAGCAGTTTATCAGCACAGCCTGGCCCTCGAAGTCGTTCCTCAAGGTGGCGGTTCTCAGCCGAAGATGAAGGAACCCTCGGATCTTGTCCAGCTGGTTGACCAGCTCGTAAGCGCGCGAGTGGTAGAAGTAACATTTAGCAGCTATCAAGTCAATCGTTCTCCTGTTCTGCGCGATTATCTTCTGAACAAGTGACTCAGAGCACTGGACGGCTTCCTGGTATTTCTTGGTGTCGATTAAACGCACCAGGACTAGCAGATGTATGTAAGCATCAATTTCCGGTAGCAGTGGAGACGCTGAGCTCTTGAAGCGCTGGATCGCTGCTTGAGTGCCTTCGGTGTCCATAGGTTCCTCCACCCAGGCAAGAAGGGCCTCTCGCTCAGCTGCTGATCGTGTGTAAAATCCTCCGATCACGCCCCGCAAGACCACGGGGTTCAGCTTCCTGCGGGTGTTCGGCAAAGCTCTCAGAGCTCGCAGGATGAATCGCGGCTCTTTGTTTTGGACTGCTTTCTCGATCTGGCGCGTGTGCTCGCGCAGATCTTGGATTGACTGCACGTTCGAGTCCTTCTTGTCGGTCTCCTCGTTCGCAAGCTCCGCTGCTACTTCTACTTCCATTGCTTCTTGGACTTTGACACCCATGTTAGTGGCTTTTACTGGAAGGATTTTTTTTATTAAATTTATGACACTTTTTTTTTTTTATGAAAATTAAATTAGCCGACATTTGAAAATTTTTATAATTTATTTTATTGAAAAATAATTTTAAAAAAATTTTCACATGTAGAAAATTTTTAAAATTATATTTGAAATTTTTAAAAAATAGTTTTTTAGTTGTAATTTTTAGTTAATAAAAAAAATTAAAAATTTTTGAGTGTCGGCTAACTTAATTTTCACTATTTTTTTATGATACTGAAATTAACACACATCAGACAATTTTTTATAACAATTAAATTATTTTTAAAAAAATTCCACAGACAGAAATTTTAAAAATTATAAGAGCGAATTTTTAAAAATATTTTTTTTATTATAGGTAGTTTATTTGAGTAATTTTTATGATGATAAATTTAGCAGATATTGAATAATTTTTAGAATTTTTTTTAACAAATAAATTATGCCGAAAAAAAAAAATAGGAAAAAAAATTGACATGTAGAAATTTTGAAAAATTAAAAATGCAATTTTTTAAAAATAATTTTTTGGAGAAAATTTTTTTGTTAAAAAAAATTAAAAAATTCTCTAATGACTGCTAACTTTAATTTCATGTAATTTTTTACAAGTGGGGTCCACCTTATTTTTGGCCATATCTAGGTGAAAAATTAACATTTTTTTTTTTTTCGATAGCTTTCTTGCCTTCAAAAGTTGGAAGAAATTTTGGCTCTCATATTTTTGGATAAAATTTCTATTTTGTCTTTTTTTGATATATATTTTTTTTTATAAGTACATAAAAAAACGGATAATTAAAAAAAAAATTTTATATCACAATTTTCTAAAAAATTTATAAATTTTTTTGAAAATTTGTTAAAATTGTGATAATCAACTTTTTTTTTTTCAATTGTTCATTTTTTTTTCTGTATTTTTCAAAAAAAAAAAAATATCCATAAAATCAAATAAAAATTTCGTTCAAAAAATGAAAATTGAAATGGTGGACCTTACTTGTAAATAATTACCTTCATTTATTATAAAAACTCCAAAAAATGTCAGATGTCTGCTGATTGTAGTATTATGGTTTTTTTTTTTTTTTTAATTTATGATAAATTATTAATTATTTGTAATCTAAGTTTGACACTTATTGTTTTTTAAAAATATTTCAGATGAATTTTTTAAAATGTTTAATAATTTTACTTGAAAGTAAAAAATTATTGTCTGTTGTACTTTAGAGGTTAAAAAATTCTAATGAGTAAAATTATAATTTTTCATCATCACAAGATTAAAATTATTAAATGAATGTAATTAAAAACAATATTTACCTGATAGCAGGAATTATAATACTAAATTTATCAGTTTTTACAACTATATCAAAAAATGTCAATTCACTGTTCTCCGGTTTTGGTACTTTAGTGATTTGTGATTGATTACAGCTGAATTTCCATGAAATTTTGTGATATATTTATCTTTAAGCTGAATTTTCAAAATCATGCGCGCGCATCTACAAAGCGGGAAAATCTAAATTTCAATCAACAAGAAAAACATTATAAATCTCCAAATCTCCAAATTTTTATTAAAAAATTATTTATAAAATTTATATAATAAAAAATAACAAGTCAAAAATAAAATTAAAGCTTAGATCTATGAAGCTGCTGAACAATTCCCGACTGAATAAATTCATTGATCGCTCGCTCATCGAACCCGTAGTTGAGTAACACTTCCCGTGAATTTTCCCCAGCTAAGGGGCTCTGAAGCTTTTCAGAAGACTGTCCTGGAGTGCGAGACAATCTGGGAGAAGGTTTAGGAACAACTGTTTTATTTTCCAAGCTAAAACTTTGTCGTTCCTTGTTGTGAGGATGCTGGTAGACATTTTTGGGAGTCAGGACTGGAGTGACACACGCGTCAGAGCCGTCAAATATCTTCGTCCACTCTTCCTGGGTCTTGGATCTGAATATTTCAGTCAATTTCTTTTTATTTTCCAGGAAGTTTTCAAACTGAGGAAGCTCCTCGTCGTTCATTCCTAATTTCTGGAGTAAAACCGCGTAGAAATGGGGTTCCAGGGCTCCAACGGCTAGGAATTTACCATCTGAAGTTTCATAGGTGTCATAGAAATGCGTTCCAGAGTCAAGACTAAAAAATTAACAAATTATTATTTTTGATTACACAATTATATAGTAATTGATAATCTTACATATTTTTACCGCGAGGTCTTCCCCACAATCCAGGAATATTTTGTGATCTAAACAGCCAACTACCGACATAAGCAGCTCCTTCGACCATAGAAGCGTCAATTACTTGCCCCAGTTTGCTCTCTGTGCGTTCATATAGAGCTAATAATATTCCTAGTGCACAAATTAGTCCACCACCAGCGAAGTCAGCTGCGAAATTAACAGGTGGCAGAGGTTTATCACCAGATCTGCCAAAGAATGACAGTAAGCCTAGAAAAATCAATTAAATTAATCATATTTATTATTTTAAATTAAGAGAAATATTCATTAATTAAAAATTAAAATTAATTTAGCAGATATTTAATAAATTTTGATGAAAATAAAGTTTGCCGACACTTAAAAATTTTTAGAAATTTTTTGTTAAAAAAATTTAAATTAAACAATTAAAAAAAAAAAAATTGTCACATGTAAAAAACTTGAAAAACTATAAGTGCAATTTTTTATAAATATTTTTTTAGCTGTAATTTAATTAATAAAAAAAGTCAAAAATTTTTAGACGTCTGCTAACTTCAGTGTCATTAAATTTTGTAACAATTAAATTATGACAAAAAAATTTAGAAAAAATATTGACATGCAGAAATTTTTAAAAATTATAAATGCAATTTTTTGGAACAAATTTGTTTATTAAAAAAATTTAAAAAATAGTAAAGTGACTGCAAACTTTAATTTCATCAATTAAAATACCTGATAGAGCCAGGAAATTGATATCATGACCAGCCATTCTGGCATAGGGACCTTCCTGACCAAAACCAGTAAGTCTAGCGTAAATTAATTTTTTATTAGTCTTCATCAAATCACTAGGACCTAGTTTCAATTTTTCCATCACTCCTAAACAAATAAATTAATTTTATTTCCCGGAAACTAATGAATAATGATTGATTTCAATAAATACCTTTTCTAAAAGGATCAATGATGACATCGCTCTGGTCACACATTTTCTTGAATATTTCTACGGCTTTCTTGTCTTTTAAATTCAAAGATATTGACTTTTTACCAGCTGCTAAAACATCAGGATGTGAAACACCTGTCTTTTAATTTTAGTTACTAATTATTGATTTATTAATTATTAGATAAATTAATTAATTAGCATTTACCTTGTCAACCCGAACCACTGAAGCTCCAAAGTCTGCTAAAATCATCCCACAGAAAGGCGCTGGAGCTAGACCTGCTAATTCTAATACTTTTATCTTCCTCAGAGGCATTTTTCGGTTTAATTTAAAATTTTTACTTGTAATGTCATTTATATCAAAGTGTAAATATGTAAATATTTACATGTTCAAAGGTCAGGTTTATTTGTTGTTTTTTACAAATATAGTTAAAACTTTCTGCTAGATGTCACTACCTTCTTGAAAATAAATTTTAAATTTAATAAAAATATTATTATTGTTACAATTATGATAAAAATTATTTTTATTATAATTTAATTAATAATCATGAAATTAATTATTTTAAGTGATTTAAAAATTTTGAAATTAAAATTTTTCCCGCCATTTATAATCATTTCTCTTTTCTAAACTGTCATGTTTGTTAGTTTGCTATTGTTGCTCAGGTTGAACGGACGTGCTTTTACTTGTCTGAGAGAAAAATGCAAAAAGAATGAAGATAATTTATAAATAATTATCAAAAAGTATGATATTAATAAATTAAAACACTGAAACAATCAGCTGATTAATAATTTATTTAAAATACATGAAAAATCTAAGAAATAAGACAATTTAAAAATTATTTAACGGATTCAAAAATGACAGCCATTTTCTTATCGAAAGCTCAAAAATTTGCTAATTAAAAAATAAATTAAATACTCGCGTTTATTATTTTTTAATTATAAACAATTATTAGTTTAAAACTAAAATACATATTTTTAATAAAATGTAATGCAAAAAAAAAATAACTGATAAAAATCTTCCAAGATGAATAAGAAATAAATTCTTAGACATGATTCGGTAAGTGATCAACTGTCTTTATTTACATCAAACAACAATGTCTGAACGAAATCATCCACAGCACTCCATAATAAACTTTAATAATAATTTATTTTCATTATTATTTAAATAAATTTGACAGGACTCACCCAAGCACTCAAAAATAACCAACCAAAAAATTATAACAAAAACAAAAATTCACGCACACCGGACAATCAACTAATTATTATTATAATTTATTTATTTATTTAAGAATCGTGCTTATTAATATAAAGGGACGAGATCGGATATTTATTACGTGCATTAATTAATTGTCATCGGTTCATAGTTTGGTTTTAATTATGACAAGGCACGTGACACGACATTTTACCATGATCCCTCATTAAAAAATAAACTCTTCCAAAAAATTTTCCCAATCGTTGTTTGTAATATTTCTTTTTTTTTTTTCTCATTAATTATGACAAGCGGTCCTAGTGTAAATACTTTTTCATTTAAATAATCTAATTATTTAGTGACATTAGTTGTGATAGTTAATATTCATGATTATATTTATTTATATAAAGACTTTCGTTGAGCAGTTGAATTACAATTGCCGATACAAGTATTTGCCAAGATTTATTAGTAATTATTAGTATGCAGGTGATAATTTATTTTTTTTTAAATGTTGGAAAAATTTTCTGAAATATCGTGTTGCCTGTACAGATCGCATTAAATTTTTACATTTTCATTTTAATAATAATAATAATAATAATAATAATCATAATCATAATAATAAAAATAATAATAATATTTATATAATAGATATAATCAGCTCAGTAAACAAATATCATTAAATACATTACTCTATATACAATGTTTGTTTTTTGTTAATTATATAATTAGTAGTTAATTTTTTTGTTATTTTCATTTTTATGGGAAATGGTACATAGCACCGACTTGCCCTCAGTAGACTCAATAATAAGAGACGGCAGTCTGATATGCTGCTGCACAACTAAAGTACTCAGACAAGCTCAAAAATAGCTTGGGCATGATATCAAAAATTAAACGGATTTTTTGGTCCTAGTGAAACAAATTAGCACGTAATTATTAGTTATTTATATATTTTATAATTTGAATTTAAATTTTAATAATTCGGTAAGAAGAATTTCAATCTTTGGTTCATTCCCTTAATTGCATCATAGTAAAATCACCAATAAAGCACTAGGCGAAATTAACTAATTAAAATTTACCTAAACACCTGGACAATTTAGTGCATTAAATTATCACGATGTCTCATTTCAATTACCTACAATTTATTTAAGTATATAAAGCTCTTAGAGATAACAACAACAAAAAAACAGGCTTCCTTCTTACCGGGACCTTGGCTAATTGTATTTAATTAGAAATAATAATTTTTTTTAAGTGGTATTAATTCATTTAATGGTCAATCAATCATTAGCTTGATGATTGATCGATTAGATTATAACTTGGTTGACCCGGAAATAATTTCTTGATAAAGCTCGGGTGTGACCTCGACGTACTCTTTATTACCAGACCTGAAGTAAACTTTGTCCTGGATTTTGTTCGGGTCAAAGCCCTCTTTCTGTAGGTTTATTTTTTTAAGCTTGAAAGTCCCCGTCATCTCAAGCTCGTTTACTATTCGCAGGAAAATTGGCCTGGCGTAGGAGGGAAGAGCGCGGTCCAGGCCTTCTGCAAGTGCTTTGAAGTCCAGCAGACACTCAGGATCGACTATCGCCGCCATCCCTGCTCGACCTTCCATTCCTGGTACCTGTAAGTCAATTATAGATTTCATATCTTTACTAATTATGCTTTAAGTAGAATTTTATTAGATAAAGAGTAAAAATTATAATTTTACCTGGACACCGTAGACAGTAGTGTCTCTGTAACCAGCGACGTTACTAACGACACCCTCGACTTCTGCGGTCGCTACGTTTTCGCCTTTCCACCTATAGGTATCTCCTGTTCTGTCTTTGAAGTAAAAGTATCCTAGTTCGTCTTGAACTAAAATATCTCCTAAAAATTTTTTAAGCCAAAAATATTTTAGTCATAGATTTTTATAGACATTAGTTTAAGGGGGGGAAGTCCATGTAAAATTTTCGAAAAATCAATTTTTTTTTTTCGATAATCTGAAAATATAGTATGTTGAGCGTGTACTGACGAGAGGAAAAAATAAAATCTCGAATATTGACGTAGTTATAGCTGATATAATGGAGCGGGCCGGAGTGCATATTGTAGTGCGTACTATAACTTTAAACGCGATTATCTTGAAACTGTATTTTTAAAAACTGCTCATGTTGTAACTCAAAAAGTTATTGATTGATTTGTTTGAAATTTGGTAAGGCCTTTCTCTATATTACTATCGGAAGGATAAACCTAAAATTTTAGATATTTTGCGTTGATAAAATACTTTTTTGAGGTCAAAAATGTCAAAAAAATAGCCCCAAATTCTGACTTTTTTTCAACGGATTATTTTATATTGAATTTTATACTTTTTTTTTTCAATTTTAAAGGTTTATCCTTTCCGTTAATATGTTTTAAAAAGAAAACACTTTAATTTTTTTATTGCAGCAAACAAAAAATTATCCTGAGCTGCCATTTTGAAAGAAAAAAAAAAAAATTACTTTTGTACTTTAGAAAGGTTCAATAAAGTTGTGTTAAAGTTTAAAAACAATAAAATTATTTTATCACCTTTAAAAATATTTTTAAAAAATGACCGATTTTAAGGCTTTCACATGGACTTCCTCCCTTAATTAAATTAATTTTTTCATCAGTAGAATTAAAATTTCATGAAAATTTTTGATTGATGTTAAGAAATTATCAAAAAAATTACCCGTCAGAAATGCTTTATCCCCTTTGACAAACACATTTTCGATGACTTTTCTTCTTGAAGCTTCTTCATCCAAGTAACCATTAAATTCCCTCGAGGCATTACCCTGTTTAATTAGACCTATAAACATTCCCGGTTCATCTGAAAGAATATTAAATTAAATTAATTACTCAACTCTCTAAACATACTAACAGAGAAAGTTAATTACTTATTTCAGCCCGTATACAAAAACCATTAGGTCCTCTGACAGGTTCACCGGTCTCAGGATTGATGCGAATAATCGCTACTGGATGCAGCGGCTTCGGTAGTATCGAGGGTATAAAGCCCACAGCTCCGACTTGGTTGTCAACATTCACTGTAATTAAAATAAGAAATTAATTACAGCACTAACCACTAGCCAATCAATATGAAACTGAAATTCCAACACAATTTGCTCACCAATATTAGCATTTCCTTCACTAGAGCCGTACACTTCAGTGATTTGCTCGATTTTAAACCGATCGACAAACTGTTGCCATATGTGCGATCTCATCCCGTTGCCGACCATCAGTCTCACCGGATGCTGACTGTCCTCGGGTCTCGCTGGCGCTGATAATAAATATCTGCACATTTCTCCGATGTATTGTGCCAACTAATTAGAATAACAATTAATTAAAATTTTTAACTCGTCAATTTTCACTCAGAAATTTGAAAAAAAAAAATTTTTTTAATTACTTACCGTACAATTGTATTTAATACAATCAGTCCAATAATGAGACACCGAGAACTTAGTCCTGAGTACACTGGGTATTCCTTTGACAAGAGCACACCCAGTCCCGACTAGCCCTCCAGCCATATGATATAGAGGAATTGGATTGTACATAATGTCACCATCCCTCAGCCCTAACATGTGATATGTGGCCATTGTTACCAGAAGATATCTGAAAGCAAATTAGTAAATAAATAAAAGGATCATTTATTTGCCGACATTATTTACCAAATCGATTAAGGTAATTCAAGCGTGTGCGTGCTTGTATGTACTATATTTACTCGCTAAAAAAAAAAAAGGCAAGACAGTACACAATACATCAAACGTTAATCTCATATTCTCTCAGAGTTGTGAGGTCTCTCTGACAGGATTACGGTTCATTACATCAACTTTATTACGTTCATACACTTTCGTTGCACTTTAAACAGTTACGTAATAATAGTAGAGTATATAAAGCACTAGAGGGTGTTATTATCAGGTGATATTTTATTATTTTTTCATTATCTTATAGACGCTAATTAATTAATTTTTTATTGATTTATTCATTTTTTTTCCTTTGAAAAAAAAGTTTCAATTTCTTTTTTGAATTTTATTTTTTAATTTCACGACTTTTTTCTTCAGTAAGATATTTTTAATCGACGTGATAAAATAATCAGTATTTATAATCTAAAAGTTTTCATTGATAATAAATTTTCAGCAATGAATTTTTTGCTTGAATTAAAAAATAAATTTTAGATAAGAATAAAAAAAAAAATGTTGATTTAAGGTACCGACCCACATTTTCTAGTCAATACTGAGTGAATAATTTAGTAGGTGGTCAGCTGAGTAACTTGACCATAAGCGTAATCGACTTTATTACTACAATTCTTATCATTTTTTATTAATAATATCATCACTATTAATAATGAACTCATCATCGACGAAACTAAAGAAAGAAAGAAAGAAAGAAAGTGACTATGACTAATAAAAATTAACGCACTGCGTGACTCGTACAACATTGTACCAGCGAATCGATACAAGGCCGCATTAAGTACATAAAGTATAAATAACATTTATTGTTTATTTATATCAGTATCAGTAGGAAATAAAAGTGTTTAAGTACCTAGAGTTTGGCATAAGAACTGCTTTTGGCAGCCCGGTAGTCCCACTGGTGTAAATGTAGAGCAAGTTATCGCGATAACCCGGCTCATTTTCGACCACTGGATTTTCAGAGCTGGCTTCAGACATCAGCTTGTCTAGGTTCTCCGTTCCTTGCTGGGCGTCGTTGAGTCCAGCTCCTTCCTTGTATTTTTTTATGCCCTCAATCGAGTCGTTGATCTCGTCGATTGCTGGTAAATCATTTTAATTATAATTAACTTGATTAAATAGCGATGATAAATTCATTAGCAGATTGAATAAATCACCTGATGAAAACTCAGCAGCATAAATGACGCCCTTGACTTTGGCGACTGTCAGACAGTGGGATAATAATTGTAGGCGTAGGTTCGTGTTTATCAATGCAGTTATCACGCCGATTTTTCCTAAACCGAGCCAAGTAGCAATAAATTCTGGTCGGTTTGTCATCATAAGTGCTACCGCGTCGCCCTTCACGTACCCATGTTTGATAAACGTATTTGCTATTCTATTACTGTACTCGTTTATCTGGAAAATATATTTATTTTTATTTTATTTCTTTGTGGAGCGACAAATACAGAAGAGAGTTTAAATTGCCGTGTGGGCGAGAGATAAATAATTTATAGTTCAAAATTTATGACAATAGAGGGTGATATTTAAAGAACTTACTTCAGCATTGGTCCAAGTACGTTCTTCTAATATAAAACAGGGCTTGTTTGGATATAATTTCACTCTTTCACTGAATATTTCCATAACCGTGGTATTGTTTTTCACAAATCGCTTCGTCTCTTTGTCGGCATTTAGATAGCGATATAGGAATCTGAAAAATAATGTTTTTATTATTTTTTACTCAGCTAAATAAATTCTATTATTTTTCAAAATTCTTTTTATACTAATTACTTATATAAGAAATGTTTGCATTACTGTAAATCATCCATTTGTCTTATAATTATCCATGAATGTAAATATTTTATTTTCTTTGATAGACTAATTATCTTTTAATAAATGAATTCAAAGTCCAATTACAGTTTAATGAAGATTACTAATTTTTAAGCAACTTAACATTTGTTTATTATTATTTTTATAATAACCATTTAATGAGGTTTAAAGTTCTTATAATAATTCTTATCGAGCATCCTCGCAATTGACCTTTAACGCTTTTATATAAATATTTTATTAAAAATTTAGATTAATGAGATTGAACGTAGGCGTTATTCTTATTCGTCAATACGTGTCCATAATTATCATACACGTACTTTGAATTTCAATTACCATGACCTAAGATAAATTTCGTAATTTTTATTTACATTGCTAAATAATTTAAATAACTGCCCGGTTGTCTCTATTCTTTATATTACGCTTTAAATATTAAATACATGCAAAGAAAATAGCGAAGCGCATTGTTATTATTCACTTATTGTCTAATTGCCTTTATCAGTGTTTGTTGTTATTATAAAATAAGTATTTATTGTGATAAAAAATAGATTATTACCACAGACCAAGACCTTAATGATTAAACTGAAATATGTGGAAAATAATAGATCAAAGTCCAGCAATTTAATTTAAAAACTTGAAATTTAAAACCTTCAATTAGGTTCAAAATTCAAAAAACTCATACCAACAGTCCAAGGATTTGGAGTAATTAAAAGTATTGAAAGTTTTAATTGAAGTTATAAGTTTCGGAAAAGAATAACTTTAATGTTAAAAGTTTTAACGGTTGCCAACGTGTATCGATCGGTTAGTATTGTAGCCTGATGTTTTAAACCTGTCGCAAGGGTAGATATACCCTTGTCTCCAACACGAGTTTCTATTTCTAACTTTTAATATCTTTTTTCATAAAGTAGACTTTTAGTCCATTAATATTTATTTATTTTTATATATGCATAAATATCCAATATTTATTTATTAACTCTTTTTTTTTATTGCCTCTCAATTTTTATTTCTTTTTCAAAATCGCTTTTCTGAATTCACTGAATTAATAATTTAATTTAAAAATTTTTTAAATAACAATTTCAATAGTTTATAAATTTTTATGTCTTTGTACCTTCACCTTTAGTTATTGATTTTTTACCACTATTTTATTCATTTAATTTTTCTTTATCAAACTAATTTCTTTAAAAATATATTAAAAACTTCTTCAATTTTTTTTTTATAAAAACAAAGCAGCTACTATAAAAGAAAATATGGAAAATTATAAAGTGAATTTAACAAAAAATTTTTCATATGCAATTTTTCAATTATTAATTTTTAAATAATTAAAATAAAAAACGATTAAATGGCAAAAGCATTTAAAAAAATAAATTGCTGATAAAAAATACAATGTTATATCTTAAAAAATATTTTTAAATATAATATATTTAAAATAAAAGTGTACTTACTTAATATCTCGTGGTAAAGTCCGTATAATAACATAAATTCTCCGATGATATTTATAAAATAATGGTATTAATAACGCAGTAACAGCAATTTGTGTAATCCTGGTGAAGGATCCGATCCGGGCAACAACTCCGGCTGCCATCAGGACGGCAATAGTCACCACGAGGCACGCAAATCTGATGTCCATGTTTAAAAACTAATCAGGGCACCCCGTTCCTTTTAAATGATAGACAGCCGGGGTCGCCGGTTGATAGTCGCGGCGCTGCCAACAGACAAATACTTAATAAAATAACAAATAACAATAACAATAATGTCGTGTCCTAAGAGGGTTGGTTGAACGTTTAGCAACTAGTTATCTTCCTTTATCTAAAAGCAACCCCGTTCGTCTGCTTTTGGTCTCACTTTTCCGTCCACCGTTTCCCGCTCGCGCTTTTTTTCTCTGTCTTAAAACCACCCTTAAATATATAACGTGTCTCTTTCTCCGGGCCGTCGCGATCGCCAATACCTTTGGAGGCCTTATATTACTTTTCGCTGAATATATCATTGCGTACACTTAACGATCCGCGCACGCGCAATTCCTCCCTTTTCCTATTATATTATGTTCCTACTATACATACACTCCTCACCGTTTTACTTTACTTGGAAATATTACTGTTATTATTATTAATACCGAAGAGAAGAATACAAGGGATAGGATCGGTCTACGTCATAACACCGTCATTAAATAACGGCACCCCACACAGAAAAAAAAATTAACTTGAATCAAGTAAAAATTTCTTGAACCAAGAAAATAATTTTGAAAAGTTTCATTGTCTTGAATCAAGAGATGAAAAATTCTTGAATCAAGTAAAATTTACTTAAGCCAAGAAAAATTTCTTGGTTTAAGAATTTTTTTACTTAATTCAAGAAGATTAAGTTCTTCAAAATTATTTACTTGATTCAAGTAAATTTTTTTTTCTGTGCATACACCCGGTGTTTTCATCTGCTCCGAAATTCACGCACGGAAAAGAATGTTAAAATGTTTGATTAATTAAAACATCTGCTCCAATGAAAATGGAGTTAGCTGACATTTCAAAATTTTTATGAATTTTTTATCAAAAAAATTTCAATTAAACAATTAAAAAAAAATATATCATATGTTAAAAACTTGAAAAACTATAAGTGCAATTTTTTATAAATATCTTTTTAGTTGTAATTTAATTAAAAAAAAAAAAAATCAAAAATTTTTAGACGTCTGCTAACTTCAGTGTCATCTGCTCCAACTATTTAACTCAAAATTTACAGACTTTAATTTTTTTAATTTCAATTTAAAAAAAGAAACTCCAAGGCAAGAATTAAAAAAAAAATTTTTATCAGCAAAAATATGACTTTATTTTATTTTTGTTTTCCTCTATGAAATTTTTAATTTGCAAATTTTTAAATGTTATAAAATTGACCCAACAATCATTAAAAATGTCGGATTTGTTTTTCCATTAAATTTTCTCCCTGTAAAATTATTAACTAAATTTTTCCTGAATCACGTGCCAACACAAGTTACAATAAAAATTTTACAATCGATTTTTAAAACTCCAAAATTCCAGACCGCGTATTAATGGCGAGTGATTAAATTTTGCATCGTAATAAATAAATTATTGATTTTCGCGTTTCAAAATAATGTAAAACTTTACTCATTACTTGTTTATCGATTATTGTTGCGAAAATTATTAGAGATATTGGTTAAATTTTAGAAAGGTCATTTTGGAGGCGATCGTCATCAAAAAGTTAGCGGATTCCGATCGTTTATTGAGTTTGGGTTGAAACTAAGTGTATCTTTAGTATCGATTCACTTACTGTTGCACGAGTGTAATAGTTTTGTATAAAATATATAGTATTTATTGCGAGGTGAAAACCGTCTGACGTCTGACGACGACTAACGGACCTGCGGCAACTTCCGATTCAGTCAGATGGAAGCCCGACGTAGTTTTGGATTTCCCCTTCTTTGCAAAACCCCTCCTTTCACATTGTACATTGGCTACATTGTACATTGTACTGCGTATCTCCTCCTGTCTTTGTCTCATTTATTTATTTTATCAGCGAAGCTTTTGCACAGAAATAGTGTTATGTAGTACTTTCGCCTCTTTTACCGCGTCTACTTTAAATTACTTGATGTCAGTTTAAAATACGATAACTTTGCTTTTTAATCACTCAATGTCAATTAAATGGGGTTGTTAATTATTCATTTTTCCATCGATAGAATTTTGATTTAATTACTAGAGTTTTCATTTCTTTTTTTTAATTTAATTAAGTGCAATTTAAAGTGATTTATTCGAATAAAATTACGTATAATTTAAAATTAAATAAAAATAATTAATTATAAATTGTAAATCATTCTTAGTGACCTCAGTCTTGATTTTAAAATTAAATAAAAAAGTAATTATGTTAAATTTCTACAATAACAGTTCTTGACCAAAAAGAAAGGAAATAAATTGAGGACATTGATAAAAACATAATTTTTATTTTTATTTAGTAAGCAATTTATAAGCATGACAAGATAAAGTATCTTTGTAATTCACAAAGATGACTTTGAAAATATATATAAATATACAAACTTACTCACGTAGAAATCAATTTATTTTTTACTCTTATCAATCATTATTATTATTTGAATTTTATTGCAAGAAATTGCGTATGAAATCCCAGGAGCAACTGAGGTTATTTCACGGATAAATAACAATAATAATAAGCTTATTCATAAACAACGGAGCATCGCATAATCGCATATTAATGAGCTGGGCTCTGGGGGATTTATTTTCTGAGTTATTTTTTTGTATTTTATTTTATTTTTAAGCGACGACGTATCGTTCAAAGGTCCAAGTATAATATGTTTAAAGTAATTAGATTAGATAAAAATTATTCGCTTACCTTTAGGACTTATGTAACTGTTTGTTGAGTTGTTATTTTATATTTGTTTGTCAAATCGCTGAATATATTTTTAAGCTTCACGAAAAAATAGCGTGAGAAGAGCTAAAAATAAATCTGCGGATTCATAGATTCATACTTTCGATACCCGGATTGCGGTAGTTGCTTTTGTAACGTGGAAAAAATATTTTAGTAGAAAATATCAGTGGATTATGCGAGGAGGACAACTTCCGGCGTATTCAGAAGACAATTGCTTATTTCTTATGCATATTAATTAGATGTGGGCTCAGGTTTTTCTCATGCAAGCAAATTTACGATTTTTGAATTTAAATAGAAACAAAATTGCCTATCATTAAGCTTAAAAAAAAGTAATAAATATAAAAAAAATATATAGAGTAACTTCCAACATAGTCATAAAACACACTCTGAGACTCAGGCTCATAACACAAGTATACAAACATAATTATATTTATTTTTTCCAAGCGATACTGTGACCTCTTTACAGAGTCTTTGAACCGGTTTTACTTATACATTACTAATTCCTAAACCACAGTAAATAAAAAATATTTTTTTTTTTTTATAAAATATTGAACTTTATTCTAAAAAAAAAAAAAAAAAATAACAATTAAATTATAAAGACCACATACAACATCATATTTTATAAATTAATTAACGTGTCTATTTAAATAAATCACTCAGATTGGAGTCTAAAAATATTTTAAAGACTTTGTGTGCGTACCAAAAAATATTTATCATTTTAAAAAGTGAATCCAAATACTGGCAGTCGTTTTTTTGTCAGATCTCTATCAAGTTAATTTATAAAATCCCATTTTAATAATTTAAATATAAGTATATCACCATGTCTACTCATTTTATTATCTAAATTTATCGACAGTTTGTTTACGTATTGATTTTCTTTTTCACTTGACATATAATATATACAAATTTTAATTTTATTTTTATATTTAAAACTCAAGTGACTCTTGATATTTATCAGCGTATTTTCACAATCGTTATGATTAATTAATATCTAATTGCTGACATACTTTTCAGTAACTTTGTGTTTAAAATTTATAATTTTTTCCTTATTTTTATTTTAAAAACGTATTTTTCCTTGTAATATTTGATCATAAACTTCTGGTGTTATTAATTGATACCCCGATTTAGGATCTAAGTAATAAAGCTTGTCGTTTACTTTTCTCGGGTTGTATCCTTCTTCTTGCAAATCTTTCTTCTTTAATTTAAATGTTCCTATTTAATTAAATAACATTATTAATTTCATTCATACTTGATACTATTTAACTTATAAATAAAATTATACAAACCTGTAAGATCAATTTTAGTCAAAATTCTTATAAATAGTGGCCTTCCATATGAAGGTAGATTTTCTTTAACATTTTTAACAAATTCATTAAGATCTAGCGTTTCATTTTCATCATGAATAGCAGCCATACCAGCTCTGCCTTCCGATCCGGTAACCTTTTGACAAACCAATTAGTCAATTAATAAAATATCAATCCAAACAAAATAAACATAAAAATTAATCTTCACCTCGACGCCATAAACGACGCAGTCGCGATAATTAGTGAGATTACTCAGGATAGCTTCGACCTCGGAGGTTGATACGTTTTCACCTTTCCACCTGAACGTATCCCCGGTCCTGTCTTTGAAATATAAATACCCAAACTCGTCAGCGACGACAATGTCGCCGGAATGGAAAGCCGAGTCACCTTTTTTGAATACGTTGTGGATAACTTTTCTCTCAGACGCTTTTTCGTCGACGTAGCCCAGGAAAGCGCGGTGTGGATTGTTGGGAATTATTTTGCCAATAAACACTCCAGGCTCATCTGTTAAAAATTTAGTTATTTTTTGTGAAAATTTTTTTATTAAATAAAAATTATTTCAATCTATTTTTCAGACTAGAAAATATAGTCTACACGGAAAGAACAAGATGACACTGGATATCATTCCAGATTATCGGCTCCCCAATTTTAAAACACAGTAACTGCAAAATTTTTCTACCTGATTTTTTTTTAGTATTGCTGCATTTTTTATAATTTTTAGACCTTAATTTCAAGTAGATAGATAGATAGATTTGTTACATTGTACAGCAGTAAGAACTGCCTTTTACAATTTTTTCATCACAATTGTACTGCCTCTCTCTATTTCACTGCGTTCGAATTTCTTTCAAATTATTCACTGCGTTCAAAGTTTTTCTGCCTTTCAAGTTTTTGCACATAGATGTCGCAACCTGCTCTTTCAAATTTTTATAATCTCTGCGTATCTCTTGCGGCTGTGGACCGACTTGTGCTTCCTGTACGGTATTCACCCTATTCCTCACCTCTTTCGAATGGCTATCGGGGAATAGTGGCGATGGGGAAACCACAGAGAAAACCCATGCCAGTACAAGTCGGCTACCGGAGCGACCCCCGACGGTTAGTTTTGGAACTATTCGAATAACCGTCGGGGCTCGAACCCTCGCCTCACGGCACGATGGATGAACGAGTTAACGATATAATAACTTGAACCGCTCGGCCATCCCGCCGCCCTTAATTTCAAGTATTTTTTCTTTAAAATATTTATATTCAAGTATTTTCTATATTCACAAATCAAATTTTTCATCAATTTGGCGGGCAAACTTTTTTTTAATAAGAAAAATTGAAAAAAATTTTTAAATGTTAGTTACTGTGTTTTGAAATTGGGCAGCCGTTATACTCAGTGAAAAAAAATTTCAGATGGTAGCTAGTATAATCCAGATTACAATGAGTATAATCCAGATATCTGCATGCAGTAACATCTGGATTTTTCTAGCTACTATCTAAAATTTTTTTTCACCACAAATATCACTGAGTATAATCCCTGTTTAAAAATATTCATTGAAAAAAATTAAAAAAATTCGCTCTATGCAAATTATATATCTTTATATAATTCTCAGATATATACTTCAATTTCTCAGATATATACTGAGAAATTGAAATCAATTGGAATTATTGAAAAAAATTCAAATCTCATGACAGTGAATTTTTTTCAATGAATATTTTTAAACAGGGATCTGGGATTATATCCAGTGTCATCTTGTTCTTTCCGTGTAGATGTTTATAAAGAAAATTTTTTTAACAGAAGAATTTTTTTCAGTATAATGAAAAATAATTACAACCATAACTTACTCGGTTTACATTCTTGACAAAGTCCTTTCTCGTTTCTGATCGGATCTCCGTCAGCATTTACTTTTATTATCGAAATCGGGTAAACAGCCGGTATAATCCTTGATACGAAACCTATTGCGCCGACTTTATTGTCCACGTTGGCTATAAAAATGATATGAGATTATGTTAGAAGAGTGTGACGCGTGTAATAAAGAAAAATTCAACCGTATAAAACTTACTTATGTTGGCATTGCTCTCTGTGGCTCCATAAAACTCAGCGACTTGCTTAATATTGAATCTCTCGATAAACTCACTCCAAATTTGCGGTCTCAAGCCATTGCCAAAAATCGCCCGTACTTTGTGCTGCTTGTCTTCGGGTTTCGGTGGAGAGGCGAGAATGTATCGGCACATTTCGCCAATGTACTGAGCTACCTAGTAAGCAAATTTCCTGTTAATATTCGCACTTGAAGAGAGGGTCGTTTAGCTAATAAAGTACATCCTCTTTATTTTATAATAGACTATTTTTAATGTAATTAAAATTAAACTTGAACAAATAAAAATTCTCGAAGATAATTTTGAATTTTAGTTTAAAAAAAATTTGTTAACAAAGATTGATTATAATAAAGATGATAAAATTTTTTTTTAATAATTTTCTTGGTTCAAGATTTTTTCTTTTGAATCAAGTTAATTTTTCTATCAACGTAAAAAAAATAAATAAAGTACATACCGTACAATTATATTTACGACAGTCATCAAAGTAAGCGCTGGCTGAAAATTTTTTTCTGATAACACAGGTCGCGCCTTGCAATAAAACTTGACCCACACAAACAATGCCTCCAGCTGTGTGATATAACGGTAAGGGCGTGTAGAATCGGTCCGAAGTTTTGAACTTTCCCAAGTAATACATAGCACCTGCTATGAACATGAACCTAACAACCATAAAAATATAGTATAAATAAAGTAAATAAATAAAATATTAATTTAGCCGGGCAATATTTACTTGTAATTAGTTATAACAGCGGCTTTAGGTAAACCAGTAGTACCACTGGTGTATATATACATCAATTTATCATTGTACGTTCCTTTCTCTTGTAACACTAGCGGAGATGATGATGCATCGTCTAACAGTACTGACAAATCTTTTTCCTTAAGCCCCGATGAGTTTGTGTTCGGCTTACCGTCGAACTTGTACAAAGCTATTTTAGCGTCCAATGACGAGGCTATTTCACTAACGGCTGTAATAAATAAACATGTAATTTAATTATTAAATATTATATACGTGTTTACATCTTCATTTAATTAATTAGTGATAATTACACTCGGATAATTCGTCGGAAAAAATGAGCGCTTGGCAACGCGCGACATTTATACAATGCAGCAGCGAAGTTTTTCTTAGATTTGTATTAATTAATGGTATCGTCACACCAAGTTTACTCAATCCCAGCCAAATTGCGACGTACTCTGGTCTATTTTCCATTAACAGAGCTACCACGTCTCCTTTTCTGTATCCATGACTTTTGAAAACATACGCAACTTTGTTGCTCAAGTCTTCGATCTGTAAAATCAATACTTATTATTATCATCATTAATTTATTTTTTAAATTATAGTGAAGAAAATAAGCGTAAAAATATCTCAAGAAAAAATGAGATAAAAATTGTGATTTTAATTTATAAAAAAACGTCAAGTACTGTAACTGTGTATTATGTTAATTAATACATAAGTATACTCAGAATAATATTTAATCTCTCAAATAAAACGTTTCCCGAAGTTTACCTAAGCAAATGAGCGATTGTTTTAAATAAATATTTACGGTTAATATTATTGTTTGTAATTGATCTTAATCGCGTTATCGTTATTGTTTTATTAAATAACTAAAATTGAGCAATTATATCCGACGATTAAATTAAAAATTTCAAATTAAAAGTCATAATTCTGATTAAATTAAAGTGTCATTCAATCGACGCACGTCCGACTCCAATTTACAATTAATCTAACCACTATTTCTCAGCAATTAATTTTAGCCGTAATAGTTACCTCCTGGAAAGTCCATTCGCGGTCTTCAAACACGAAGCAACTTTTGTTGGGATGTTTAGCGACAAATTGCTGAAAGACATCAGCAACACTACGATTTTTCTTCTCGTGACATTTTATCGCCCACATTAGCCGAATGAATCGACTTAGAGCTCTGGAAATAAATAACAATCATTATTATTATCATTACAATCATAAAAAAACAAGAATTTACTTAATTTGTACAACTTATATAACCTTGCCTTGAATAAAATTTTTTTTAAATTTATATTGGCAAAATAATATACTCAATTTCAAGTACAGACTATCTAAATTGCTCGGTAACGCATAAACATGCTTTTCAATCATCATTATCTTTTTTTATTTTTTTTTTTTTCAATTTATACAAGTCTTAGCTGCAAATTGAATATTTTAATTCATGATAATTTTGTAGCAATGATTCATTCTAATTATTTTCATTATCAACATCAGACATTTATAATTTTAAATAAAAAGAAAAAAAAAACAATAAATTTCTTTATTTTTTTAATGAATATTTTTAAACATACGATCAAATATTGACAACGATAAAAATATTTTTCTTTAATTACTTAAACATAAAAATTAAGTGGTTTTTTTCAATATAAAATCTGATGTCAAGACTATTTATAACCGATCAAAGTTCAAATGCAAAAACCTAGCCAGTGATTAAACAAACAAAAAATAAATAAATAATTAATGCGACTTTTAAAACCGGCATATCAATTCCGCAAAGAAGTAGACTATAAGTGTCCCGTTATTTAAAAATATAAAGCTTTCTCCTGGCTTAAACAACTACACTGCATTATTCTTGACTCACGACTTCAGCAGTACAATTTTTAAACAGATAAAAAAAAAACATTAAACAAATTTTAGTAAAACAACAACCAATTAAGATAAAAGTAAAAACTTAATTTAATCTTATCAATGTCAAGGCATAAAAATTAATTTAAAAAAGTTTACTGAACAAATTACTCACATTAGGTCTCTAGGAGCCGTTTTGAAGGCGATGTAGAACCACCTGAGCCGTCCTCCGGAGACAAAGTACGCGACAATTACCACCAGGACCAGCTGAAGGACGAAAATCGGACCCATGAAGATCCAGACGAGGGCAACCAGCCCCCCGAGGAGTCCGAGGGCAATCATCGCTAAGACGATACGCTGGAAGGTGCGGGCGATCGCGCGGCAAGTACTTGGACTGGAACCCGCGATTGTCGGGACACCAGGTTGCGCGGCTGCCGATCCCACGTCCACTGAACCGTTCGTCGATCTGCGGGAATTATCGCCTCCTTTCGACGGCGGCTCTCCCCTCTCGACGTCCTGTTTTCAAACACGTGGAATGAGAAATAACAGTCGGTATACCTTCTACACACTGTACACACATGTGTACCAGGTGTGTAGAAGTCGGCGGGTGTTTGTTTGAAATTTTTTTTTGGAAAAAAAAATTTTTTTTGTTGGGAAAAACAATTTATTGACTGCGGTGTCAATTATCAATTTTTTATTATGTTTTATTTAATTGGTATTTATGTTAGAAGAAATAGAATATTTTTTTATATGGAAGAGAAATGAATGAATCATTGATAAGTTTTTTTTTTTTTTTTTTTTTTTTCATATAATAACGTCACATAGATTGAGATAATTTTTCTAGCGCTTATCGCGTGACTAATAATTGAGCAAAATTGAAATTATTATTGGCGGTAACGTGAGTTTGTCGTTTATTATGTGATTCATGTTACTTGTCTTGTTGTACGCTTCCTTTTTCAGTATTGTATAAGATTCTTGTTTCAATAATTGATTTTATTTTTTAAACACTGAAAAAAAATGTTTCAAAATAAAATTTTCATAAATTTTGTGAGAAATATATTTTAATTGTTTTTAAAATTTTACCAATCAAAAAAAAATTATCATTCGACTTTACTTATAAGACCTGCAATTATTTTAACTGCAAATTTCAAATTTTTTTCTTCGTGTCAATTGTTATTCATTTTTTGGAAGAAAGTCACGGAAATGTTATAGTGTTTGCACATTGAAAGTTACAATAAATTTTCGCTAGAATAATCACATGAATAAAAGGTACAGGCCTATTTGATGGAATTTGGAATTTGTGCAAGTCAAAAAAATACTCCAATTAAATTTCGAGTCTTAGATCTAACAATACAATTCTATAATAAAATGCCCAGCGAAACGGGTGGGTACCAACTAGTCGACGGTCTAATTAGCAATTTGTCTAACTCCTTATTTTTTTTAATGATTCAAACCATTATAATGTAGCAATAGTCCAATTATAAATTATTTGAATGATTCAAACCAAAATATTATACCTTTATTAGATACTAATGATATTAAATGGTTTTTTAAAGTGATAATAAATTTTGAACTAATTGTTTTTTTGGTACAAATATAAGACTCTCTAAAATGGAGTTAGACAATTTGCTAATTAGAACATCGTAGTTGTTTCTAAAATTTTTACCAATCAAAAAAAATTATCATGAAGGTATCGACTATTGCTTCTTAAAAAAAAGATAAAAATTTAGTCAATAATTTACACTCCAATAAACAACCGAGCAACTGGTAGGACATATAATAAACAGTAATAGAAATATAAATAAAAATGTATATACCTATGGCGCATAATAATAGACTGTATAAAAGCACCGGTATAGGTACAGGTACTATACGGGTAGAATGAAAATAGCGGTTTGAAAGTTTCACGGACGTTTATCTCATTTATTCGCGGTAATATTGACATTATTCAGGCAGCTCGTACATTGACACCGGTATGCCCAGAACAGAGAAAAATTGCATCTACATAGTACCGAGGCAGTACAGGTTGTTGGGTAAAAGAGAAAGTTATTTTGCGTTTACACATGCTGCCGTTATGAAACCTAATGTAACACTCTACTCCTAAAACACAAGGTGTCAAAATTTAATTCATATCAATTAATAATAATAATAATAATAATAATAATAATAATAATAATAATAATAATAATATCAGATCTTAAAAAAACAATCGGTCAAGTGTAAAATTTAATTAGCAAAAACGTTAGAATAGTCTTTAATTTCTTATCTAAAAAAAAAGTCTTAAAAATTAACCGCAATTATTTGTTAACAATTATTATAATTGAGAGAAATTTTTTAATACTCACTTTTCGAAAGTCGTAAAAATTAATGGACTTGAATGGAATAGAAATACATTTTTGCAAGATACGCTTGAGTCGAATTTTACTAAAAAATTATTCCCCAGCGAATTGTTTTTAAGATTTTTTTTGTTAAAATTATTATTACAAGAGTATTTATTTATTGTAGCTTTGTTTAACAGGCTAATGTATTTGCTTTTGAGAATGACTAGCCTTGATGAAAAACACATATCGAAAAAGACGGCCGTTATTTATTTTCGATAACTTCCAGAAAAGTTACGAAATTTTGAATATTTACACACATAACTTCTAGATATTTGAATACTTTTAGTGTTTACTATTTTCGATCAGAGACCCGAGGCGGGCTGATTAATTCACCGAATTATTTATTAAACACGTTGTGAGTTGTACTACGAATTCGAGAATAAAATCAATAAAACGCGACTGTTGCGCATTTACGGTTAATAATTGAAGCTATTCTTCGATTTTTTCTTCTTTCATACCTTTTTTTTTAATAATAGCTTATTGGCTTATTTTTGACAAAAAAAAATGAACAAATTATCTATTATTTTTGGCATTAGACCCAACATTTTAAAATATCAAAATTTGTATTTATTAATTTACAAAATTCTTTGGAGAGAGTCCTTGAAAAAATTCAAAGTTTCAAAAATATTAAAATAGGTCAGAAGTTTAAAAAAAAATTACAAACAATTGACATTAATTATAATTATCACAACTTTCAGAATAATATAAAAGTAGAGAGCAAAATAATGACAACCATAAATAAAAATAAGTACAAACGATTGTTATTGGGATTTGATGTGTGTAATTAGTAATTACAATTACAGAGACAATTCATAGTTAATAACCACGCTAACAACAATGACCTACTAACCAACAAATTCAAATCACACTTTTCCCGCGTCAACAATAAATCCCGCAGATTATCTTCTACTCAAGCTTTCTCCGTACAAGTATCACCATTTAATAAAATTTTCTAATAAATCTAACATAATGCGTTTATTCGCTGATATTTCAGATAAAATCTTCACTGTCGTTAATAATTATAATTATTCCAGCAATTAATTTTTCACGCTCTTTCATGATATAAACAATATAATTTTCTGCTAATTTATTTAATTTTTATAAATAATTAATAAAGGAAATGAGAAATGAGTTTCAAGATAAATTATATTATTAATTTGAGTTTTGCAATTTTTAAGAAAAAACTTACTCGCTCCTTTGTTGAATTTATTTTTGAACCATTGCCATTTATATTATTCAAAGGCAACTTTGCAATTGTATCCGACATTTTTTCAAATTCACAGTCCAATTAATTGTTTGTTTTATAAAAAAAATTAATTATTTAAATACACCAATTTTTTCACATTTTAGTCACTCGATCAAAGTCTCAATTTTTTTTATTTTTTATTTAATACTTAATTTTATAAATTATAATAATAAAAATAATTTTTATTGAAGTAATCTTTAGTAAAATAGCTGAAGATACCGATGAGAAAGGGTCTTCGCTGAAGACTAAGAGAGTTTAGCAACTGAGTTTGAACACTTGCTCAAATCCCTCTCCACAAGCTTTTTAATGCCCCGTAATTCCTCACTTACTCTCTTTCATATATCTCTTACTTGTTATTTTTATTATTTAGTTTTTTAATCAGACGTCGTATTGCTCCAGAATATTTTATTGGTTCAGACTTCCCTTTTTTTTTTAAATTTACTTACCACCATTTATCTCGAATAGATGATATCTGCGAGCGATGGCAATTACGCGGACAACTTCTCTTATTTTTTAATTTCCTGAAGAGTTTTGCAAAAAATTTAACTTAAAAAATCTTTTTTATTTTGCAGTTGAATTATTTTTGCACTCCCACACTAAAATTATTATTTTTAATTCAAATTCTGGCGAAAAGATGAAAGATATGAAAAAAATTTATAAGAATATTTTTTATAGGAAATTAAATTTCCTAAAAAAAATTTCTCTTATAATTTTTTCGTATCTTCAATATTTCAGTGAAAATTAACTAAAAATGTTTTTAATAATTAAAAAAATGAATCATCTAGTTAAATGTTAAAAATAAAATTTGAAAAGTAAAGTACAAGTGCTCAATACAAATATTTGAATACAACTGTGTGTAAAAATGCCTATTGTGCAAGGTGTACCTTTGGCTCTTCTGAACGCATAATAATGAATGACCTGCAAATGACCCAAAGAATAATTTACATTCTTAATAATTCTTCAATTTAAGTCATGAAAGTTGTCATCTTTAAGCCGGGAAGCAAGATTTATTATAATATACAGCACACACAGGTTTGATTTATGAAAAATTTTGTTACCTACTAGTTTTTAAATCAGGAACTAGAGCGTCGTGATACTTATTTTAAGTAGAAAATTCCGCAGTGTGTTCTGGGACGCGAAATTCTAGAGTGCCGTTTTTTACAGTGTAGAAAATTATTTTTTATTTTTTCAAGTTCCATTAAAAAAAAACATTATATTTATAAGTTGTGGGACAAATTATAAATAATTAAAATAATTTATGCGAATTCTATTTTTAAATCTTATTGTTGTTATTTAAATTAACAGTTGAATTTTATTTTTTATTTTTTATTCTTTAAAATAAAAAATATATTTTTTAAAAAGAACATAGAAGACGAAAATTAGTCACGACTATTTTTCAAAACCGGATTTTCTTGATTTTATCTCGGTACGTTTCTATTTACATTCGTAAATCGCTCGTAAAACTTACTAATTTTTTTTTTTTTTGCCTAAATTAACATTTATTCAACTTATTACAAAAGAGTTTATTTTTAAGAGAATGCGATGCTGATTAATTACACAAAGAAAGAATAATTTACAGAAAAAGTATCTTAAAATTTAAGTTTAAAAGAGAAACAAATAAAATAAAATTATGTAATTTAAATACACAGTCTAAAGTCCGATGATTTATTGGACGTGACTTATCGAAAAGAAATAAATCGGACAAAAATTTTTTGAGAACATTCTAGACAGTGAAATTGAATATTAAATTTTCTAGAGAATATTCCGGTGGGATGAGTCGAGAAAGAGGTAAATAATAAATTAGATGATGTAATAAAAATTAGTTAACAAGTCAGGAGAGCCTACCACAATCGACACACGTGGAAAGCTGAAAGTATTGGACCGCTGGTGATTGCACGGCTGAGGAACATCAAGGCCAACGGCTTCTATTCGCAAAGTTGAGCGAACTCTTATTCTAAACGCTCCAAGTGGGACAAATATTTTTAAAACAAAAACACATTTCCCGATTAGGCTTTTATTATCTATTAATTAATCGGGAAGTTTATCTTTGAGAGAAATTTTATCTCTTATGTCTGTCTTAATTACTTTACTTCACTTTTCAATTATTTTCTTGAAATAATTCCAGAATTTAAATCAAAACTTTTAAAAGATTTAATCTTTTAATTGTTTTAGTGAAATAAAATTTTTTTTTTTTTTCATTATTAAACAAATTTTATTGAAAAATTTAATACCATAATAAAATTAAGGTCTTTTTATTTAATAAGACCATAAAAAAACTATGTTAATAATTGATACAAATATTTTTAGTAAATGTAAAAACACCTTAAGCCGTTTAAAAGTTATACTTGTGATTTTTACGGTAACTTACAAAAAAAAAGTGTATAAATGCTTATTAATTAACTATATGCACATTATTTTGTACTCAGCGCTGCATTAAATTCCATTTTTATCAGGCGTTTTGATCTTAGTCTATTTAATAGAAAGCAAAAAAAAAAAAAAAAAAGAAACAATCTGAATTCACCACTCGTTGAGGTAACTACTTTCCAGAGTATTAAAGACTTTCAAATTTTGACTGAAGCTGTAACAAAGAAAGATTAACAATTAAAATTAATGAAATAAATACATCAAGTCGGATTAAAAAAAAATTCCTACCCTTTGAAAGCATTAGCAATTTCAGCGACCTTGGAAGGAGTGCAAACAATGGTAGTTTTGCATTGTTTGGGATCAAAAAGCGGCTTGATGTATTTATTAGCCACGCGGTTCAAGTCTTTAATGCTGACGGTGTAAATCTTTTGGACCATCGAACGGTTGTAGTCGTGGAAGACGTTTTTAAAGTATGATAATAGAGACTGGGATACGGCGTCTCCGACGCTCTTCTCTCTCTCGACGATTTCGAAGATCAGAGATGACTTGGCCGAGTCGTAGAGCAATCGCTCCCATGAATTCTCGGTAATGAGGCTGCTCTGTGATTCAGAGATTATAAATTTTAATTTTATGGTCTATTAGCGGTAAAATAAACGATATTCCGGTTATAAAACTTACGACGATGGCTTTAGTTTCCTTGTACGCTCCAATTACATCCGTGGATGCATAGAATGTCAGGTAGAGCAAACCTTCGTTTGGTTTTGCGTATAAATTGCAACCGTATGCAAAACCTTGGCCTCTAACTTGTCTCCACATTGGTCCCTATGGATCAATTTTAATTTATGATAAATTATTATGAAATAATTATTTTATTTTTCAAAATATTTACCTCAACTTGCGTTAAATACTGAAGACAAACAAGCAAAGGAGCTAAGTCGGGACTCTCAAAGTCATTAAGACAAGGTCCAGTTTGTGATAAATAGGCAGACTCTACACATCCAAGTCCTAAAACACAACCTTCCAAGGGTATTTCTTCTCTTGGATTCATTAATTTCCAATCAGGTGTTACGTTCAATCTAAAAAGTAATAAAATAGTTGTAAACTTTATCCTAGTTTAAAAAAAAATTTACTTTATAATCTATATTATGAAGAGAATAAGCAAAATTTTGTGACCAGTGTATTTATATGATAAAATGGATTTTTATGGTTAAGGGGGAACACCACTGTGACGATAAAAAAAAAAAGGTGATTTTCGGGAATTTTTTTGACAGGGAAAATAAAGGAATTGGGGATCGGATTTTTTTTTATTTTATTAAGGGTACATTAAAGATTATTACCCTAAATTTTTATTAAAAAAAATTTAATTATTACAAAGTTATTAACAATCTCGTCGAGCACTGGAGAAAATTTCCTCC